AGTCAAATATTTCTCATCTAAGAATTTTAGCTGTACTTGTATATATCCCTAGTACTCCTCTACAATGAACTAATAGGCCCTTAAAAGAGATTGGTAATATATATTGAATTTGAATCCTTTTTTTATGATTAAATATCTTAAACCAATTGATAGTTAAATCATTTATCAAAAGACTCCAATTGATAGCTAAATCATTATTTATAAAAATAAAACTTTCTATTTACATTTGGGGACATGCAATCTTGTATGCACTAAAATTTATTTGTATTAGACCCATAAGTTATCATAAATTCTTCCTCCTGCAATTGGTTCATGATCATGAGTCAAATATTTCTCATCTAAAAATTTTAGTCGTGCAAGTATATATCCTTAGTGCTCCTCTACAATGAACTAATAGGCCCTTAAAAGAGATTGAGAATAAATATTGAATTTGAATCCTTTTCGATGATTAAATATCTTAAACGATGAAAAAATGATATTTATATAGCTCAATTTGCTGACTATCATTTTAATGAAATAGTTTTTCCAACGTTAGGGAGAGAGAATAAGCAAAATAAATAGCTTAAAATATTTTTAAAAAGAGATTACATAGAGTATTCTATCTTTATATCATCTTAATCCTCGCACAAAATAATATAAACTAGAAGTTCATAAGATAATTCATTTATAAAATTTTACAAACCAACCGTCGGATGCATTCTCGGATCTAAAAAGAGTAACTAAAATGCATGTCCCGGTAAGAATGTTTCTATTAGAATCGATATCCTAGAAGAACAATCTATTAATACTATAGCAAATAAATCTAAAGCGTGGAAGATTGATCGGTTCTAAAGATAAAAATCCTCGAAAGAAAAGAGCAAATAATCAAAATAAAATATCAAAGAAATAGATATTCATAAAAACAATCCAAGATATTTTTGATAATAAGCTTCTAGAAGAAGTCCAAATGCTTGAAAAAAATCAAGAGATTTCAATAAATTATGTCAACACGAGAGAAAAAATGGGAGAAAAATAAAACATTTGTTGATAAAATTTTTACATATAATATTATAATTGATATTTTGAATGAAAATAAGGATCATGAGTCTAAATCTATTGAAGAATGTCAACTTATAGATGATTGGCCTAAATGAAAAGAGCAATCCGGACAAAATTATACTCTCTTACAAAACGAGTAGTTTTTTAAATCCATAGTCAAAATACTTGAAGATGTTAAGTTAGTGAGATACAAACGGGTATTTGTGTGATGATGAAATAAGAAAGATGAGATTGTGGAATATAAAGCAAGACTTGTAACACAAAAGTTTTTGTAAAGACTCGACATTAATTATGAAGAGACATATTCTCCTGTAATTGATGCAATTACATTTCGTTATCTCGTTAGCCTAATAAAATATATGAAAATGTTCATATGCATGCATTTAATGAACATGATCACAATTTATTTATTCACTTTAAATAATATATATATGAAAGGCCTAAAAGGTTTTACAATGCTTAAAGCATGTAATACACATTTTTAGAAAATAAATTTTATTAAATTATAGAAATCTCTATTAGGATTGTTTTAGTATTTTTTTTATTGTTTTATTTTTAAAAAATTCAATTTATGCTATACTTTTTATATTTTTTAAATTTTTTTCAATATCCACTCTTTATTATTAATTTGTGTGCATATTGTATAATCATCTCAATTATATTTATTGAAAGAATGCTATAAAAATAACTCTATTTATTTGTGTATTTTTATAAAAAAAAATTCAAACAAGGGCGTATGATAATTGTTGTATATGTTGATGATTTAAATATTATTAGAACTCTTGAAAAGATTTCAAATGCCATAAGTTCTCTAAAAAGAGAATTTGGTATGAAATACCTAGTGAAAACAAACTTTTATCTCGACTCGTAGTTCGAGCACTTAGAGAATAAGATTTTTATTCATTAGTCAATTTCTATAGAAAAATTTCTACAATGATTCTATATGAAACTCATCCATTGACTAGTCCAATAGTATTTTGTTTACTTGATATTCGAAAAAGATCTTTTTCGACTTAAGATGATAACAAAGAACTACTTGATCCCGAAGTACTATATCTTAGTACCATTGATGTATTGATATATCTTACTAATAATACTTGACCTAATATAGTTTTTTTTATAAATTTATTAGCAAGACATAGTTGTGCTCCAATACGGAGACATTTTTATGGAATTAAGCATTCCATACGTTATCTATGAGAAAAAATTGATATGGTATTTATTTTACTCAAATAAATCAAATTCATATTGAATTGATTATGTAGATGCATATTATTTATCTGATCCATACAAAATTTAATTACAAATGACTTATGTATTTATACAGCTATGTCATGACGTTTTATGAAGCAAAGTGTAGTTGTTACATATTCAAACCATGTAGAAATACAAATTCATGAGACAAGTTGAGAATGTGTTTGGTTAAAATCAATGACCCATCATATTTGAGAGACATGCGATTTATCTATCGAGTAAAGAAGTTCCAACAATATCGTATGAATATAATGTTGCTTGCATAATTCTATTAAACAAAGAATACATCAAAATAACAATCGACATACTTATTCACTAAAGCATTACCTATCATAACTTTTTAAAAAATGATATGCAAGATCGAGATGCGTGGTCTAAAAGATCCTAAATAATTTTTCCATAGAAGGAGCCCAACATAGAGATTAATGTATACAAAAAATATTATATTCTTTTTTCATCATTAGGATTTTTTTCCACAAGATTTTTTCTTAGTAAGGTTTTAATGAGGCATGTTTCTTGTACGATAGACATTCAAACGAGAGTGTTATGAAATAATGAATGTCCATGATTATTTAATATTTTCACTATTGATGTAATTTAATTCGTTACTCAATATGAGAAATTGAAAGAAAGATACAATTTATTCAATTATTTATATATATATTTTAATGGTTCATAGTTCATTCTAGTTTTCTTCCTAATCTTGAAGCCTATAAATAAGTTTGATTGTTTATTAGTTTAAGCATAAGTGTTTTGTAGAGATTGAGAGAATTGTTTGTAGTTGTTATCTCTTGTGTTCACTTTATTTCATAGTGAAATTTATTCTTATATTATCTTTCTCTCCAATTCTATTGTTGTTATCATTTCTTTCATAACAATCCTTTATTTGTAATCAATTTTCCATCTCACCTATAACAAATAAAACTAAAAGTGCTTTTAAAAAGAGAAATTTGGACATCTAAAAAAAATAACAAGGGACTAAGTTATGATTTTCAAAACCAAAAGGATTGACTTACAAGATCATAAAGCACAAGTACTGAATTGTTAGTAATTTTCTCAAAAAGAGAAAAGAAACTAGAGTAAAAGGGTTGTCAACTTACGTGTGAAAGCCTTGAAATATCATGTATGTGTATGGATATGGTGCATTAATTTGGCCTTCTTCCAGAGATTTCTGATCCTCTTGTTATTCTTAGCCATTGTTGATGTGGGCATAAGTCCAATCTCACCATGCAGCAAGGAGTTTTTAAAATTGGAAAGTGACACTGTGTTACATGGATCGACAACATTCGTTTGACCTTAAAATGGGCTCAGTGCATAAAAAATCCTATCAAATTCTTTTCTCACTACAAATAATAAAACTTAAAATAAAATAAAAATAAAGAAACAAGTTAGATTCATAAAACTAATTAAATAAGAACTAGTGGGACAGTAGCACACCAACTCCATAAAACTAGTGATTAATTAAAAAAAAAACACACACACACACACAGTTAACAACTTGTTCATAAATTTTCAAGTTAAAAATCAGCAGAGAAAACAGACTCAGCTCTTACATCATCGACCACGGGTAATGACAAACAGAAGAGCTCTTCTGGCTTGCGCCACCGATTTGGACAGCCTACATATATAATATTTAGAATGAAACGATATATTAATCAAATTAATTAATATTATTGTCAATAAAAGCTAAACATTAAGTACTGGACAACCTGTGGGGTTGCACATAATTACAAATTAATGTAATGTAGTAACAGTAGCAAGTGATTGGGAAAATAACAAAATCAAGGTTGGACCTTATATATGTATATATATATGGATATCTTCGATCCCATTTTCGCGTATGAAAGATGCATGTTACTTTGCAATTCTGGCTTTTTCAAGAATTCATTAATTTGATCTATTAACCTTGACCTTGCAATCTAATTAAAGATTTGAAATTAAACTGGTAGGTGATGTTCCAAGAGTTTATATTACTCTCTAATATATTTTTTCAAGTGACATTTTTTTAAATGAAAATTTTTTAGATTTAAAATTTGCACAAACTCACTTTTATATTGTACTTAATTATTTAGTTAGGGGAAAAAAATAGAAGAAGTCAGATTTGAATTTATGATCGTTTGATCATTAAAACTCTAATATTATAATAGAAAATCATCTCAATTCAAAAATTGTTTTATATTAATCTCTGAACAGACTATGGAAAAAAAAAAGAAAAGAAAAAAAAGAAAGGATCGTATTCATATTATGATCAGTTTCTTGCTGTTAAGTTCCTTTCTTTCTTTAACAATCATATTCATATTATGGCCTCATGATTGGACCATTTTCAAGGTAAAAAAAAAAAAATCGAATCTTCAAGTAAAAAGAGATGGGCTTAAGACTTAAACAGACATGTATAATCAATCACTTATGAAAAAAAAAAGAAAAAATAAATGAATTTATGATTGACAGATGGATCATTAACTGATCACCAGCAAACTGGGCTGGAGTTCTTGTGAATTCATGAAAATAAATAAAGAAAAATTTGTATGCATTCTTATTGACGAAGGGCCAGCTCATAATTCACTACCTAAATCTAACCTTCTACAATGGGCTTTTATACATATCACCAAATTTCAAGAACTTGATACTTGAAAAAATTGTGGAATGCAAAAGGAAAAGATAAAGAGTTAAAAAACAGCAGATAAAAAAATAAAGAAAGATTTAAGTTTTTATACATCTAAAGTCTGTCTTGTGTTTTCAGTTTGTTGAATCCTTCTTTCTCTATTGGCAAACCACTCAACTGTTCTTCTGGCAATTGGCAACCAAAGCTGCCTGTGTCTTTCTGCCTGTACATTGCTTCCATCTGAAGAGAACTCTCTAATGGAGTTCTTGAGACCCAAATTTCTAAATCTTGAAAAAGAAGTAATCTCAGATACTGATCTTCTGTCAGTTGCATTTATAACCCTTGATGTGTGATTTGAAATCGCTCTTGAATCTGATGTTGAAGGCCGACCTTGAATTGTAATTGGAGGCTTTTTGTTGATCGGACTAACTTTACTCTCAAACACTCTCTTCATTTCTATTTCTTCCTTGATCTTCAAAACTTGCTCATCTTCTATGGCTCTATTAGTTGTCGGTTCCTCGTTTTTCAAATCCAGAGTTTGGAATCTATTGCTTGACATATCATACAGCATCTCTGAATTCAAGAACATGAGGTCTGAGGAACTAGCACTGCTCCATCTATTCTTCAAGACAACATCAGATACAATTATCTTGTGCTTGAACTTATTGAAGATCTTTTGATCATTATCAATACCTTCAGCTTCTTCTTGGATTAAAGATTCTCCTTCACTGTAATCCTTTCCAGCTTTTCTGAAGCTGCTTCCAATGCTAAATCTCGAAGACCCTTGACGATGTTCTTGTTCCTCCCTCTGGACAAATAGCTCTATGTTTGAGTCTTCTCGTAGCTCTGATTGATCCCCCAAGTATCGCATGCTATTTGAATATGCGAAGATTGTTGGGTCCTCAGGACTGATCTTGCGCCTGCAAAGAGGGCAGCTTGAATGTTTTTCTAGCCACTGATCGACGCAGTTAATGTGAAAGGCATGTTTGCATTTAGGCAGAAACCTGAGAATTTCAATATCTTCAAATTTTGAGAGGCAGACTGCACATTCAAGCCCTTCTCTTGATCCTTTAAGAGAAGAAAATCTGAAGAAAGGAAGTGACTCTATCACCGTCTTATCGATTCCAGAGAACCGAGATGCTGATCTAGCAAGTGCAGGACCAATTTCTGAAACACCATGACCGGAACCTCCCCTGTGGCAAAATTTTGCATAGATAAGGAGGATAAAAGTTAATGCAAACATGATGCAGAGAACTCCTATAACAACAGCAAGACTTGGTCGGAAATTCGAGGCAGCATCTTGTGAAGGTCCAATATCCTGGTCAGAGGTATTTTGTGCTCGGACTCGGAAGAGCACAAACAGGAGATGCAAAATGACCAAACTTGATTGTTTCATGGTAAAGTCAAAGGCTCAAAACAACTTTTCGAAAATTTTGAAGTTTTCCTGTAAGCATTCTGCTAGCTAGAACTAGAAAATGTGTATCTTGTGTCTAGACCATAAAACAAACTCTTTAAGGTTAACAATTAGATGGGGTTTGTTAGGCAGTTTTCTTGTCTTGTTTTATAAAGCAATTCTGTATTTGTCCTAATTTCATATTCTAGTGTAAGTTTTTAAACTTTGAAATTCAGTAGTGACGACAAGGTGGACAGGCTTATAATTTCACACTACAAATTTGGGTGATGAATTGGTGGTCATCTCTCTTTGTATTATAAACAAAGAAAAGTAATATAATCCAAACTACAGAATTATAATTCTTTTCTTCATGCTGACACTGACAATAGTTTATTCATAAAATATAGGAATCAATGTCACGTACAATAATGCAATAATAATTAATAGTACCCTAATGCATTTGACATTTTTCTTGAAATTTTATCTTTATGTGGTACTGGTAATGAAATATTTTATGAGGTAAACTGTTCCTGCTACCATAATGAAATCTTTAAAATTCAAAACCAGTTGTTGATAAGTTTATCAAGGTCGCTTTCAATTTGCTTGGTGAATAGGTTATCAAGGTCATTAATTATGCAGTGCAATTTACAAGTCAAATCTAGTTGTACAAGAAAACCAACAAAGTCAAGGAGGTGGATCCATTCTACCCCTTGCAAAAACAGCAGGTAGCTGATTTCACTCCAAAGGTCGGTTCATCCACGCAAGCATATAGCTAATAAGCCGAGAGGTACAGAGATTCATCAAATTGAAGAAGTTCCATTCGTTTTTATGTCATAATAAGGGTATAAGAAGAAAAGAAAAGAGGAAAGTAATGGGCATTCAAAGCATTGTTAATGAATACAAATCAGTTCAGACCAAAACCACGTTACTTAAAACTATAGACTCGTCAAATTTAACATTCTGGTAATTAATAAGTTTTGCCAGTTGATTTCTAATATAAAAAATCGAATAAACATTGATAAGGTTGGAAACTTTTATGACGTGGACCGACAAGTATTGGAATTTATGGAACGATATGAGCGTGATAGAAGTTGAAAAAAATTATCCACCCATTTTTAAGATTTCTTGGACCTAATTCGATGCTAAATAGTCCAATGAGTCAAACTCATACTATGCCATGATATAAAGGTGATTTTGGTAAAAAAAAATACTATTTAGGCCTTCAAAATTAACTTTTATTGTTTTTCAAGATTTTTTTCTTATTTTTCAAATTTTTTATTTGCTTTCTTTTTAAGTTGGTTTAGGGTTTTAGACTGAATTTCCTATTTATGTATGATTTGAAAGCGAAAAATATAGCTTTCTTTAATTAATAAAACTTTATGGGAGAGTATCTCAATTTTATCTTAATTCCCGACGAGTCTTTGAATCGACGAGATTTGAAGCTTATTTCCGATATTTGCATGCAATTCAAGAGGTTGTAGTAGACCGAGTATCCGAAAGTCGTGTTTAAGTTTTCGGATCAACGGTGTTTATTTCCTTCTCGTAAGTTTTCGCTATGTCACTTTAAAAGCTAAGGTATTCCTTTATATAATTTTTATACTTTTTGAATTATTTTAATTAAAACTCTATTTTGTATTTTTTTTATGCTGATTGAATCCATCTATTTTTTATTTTATTTTGTTTACGTCTATCTATTATAACATTATTAGTTCATGAAGTAGCATGACACATTTACTCTTGAATGCATAGCAAGTGCCATACATGAGACTCCAATAAAAAAAAATTTAATCAAAACAATTTGCGAGTTTAAGGACTTAATCAATACAATTTTAAGAGTATAAGGACCAAATTATTTTTTTTCAATTTTCATGTTATTGTTTATTTTTTAATTTTAAATATAGTGAAAAATGTCATGTGTGAGACTTTATCATAATACAACTATAAAGAGTATTTTTTAAATTATATATATATATATATATATATATATATATATATATATATATATATATATATATATATATAACGAACTTAACTTGCAATTAAAACAAAAATAGATTACAAATATATTTATCAAAATTAAAATTAAAATTAAAATAATGTTGACCGAGTAGTTAATTATCTATATCAAAAAAGAAAATATGATGCAATCTCTAGTTTATATATATATATATATAAAGCAACCCTATTTTTTACTTTGAATTTGTCAAATATTCGAAATTCTTATTTTTTGTAGAGGATTACACCCATTAGCTAGGAATCTGTGGCTAATCGATATTACACATTATTATATTTTTATTTTAATAATTGCATGCTAAGTTATTTTTTTCTTTTTTTATGTATTATTTTAAACTTATTATAATAATTAAAAAAAAACATTTCACAGTCATACAATAATTGGGTTTAACATAGGACACATTTTCTACATTTTGAATGAGTTTTAAAAAAAACAACATGAAAATTAAAAATGAAGAAACAATAATTTGATTCGCTTACTCTTCAAAATATGTTGATTGATTCATTGTAATTTTTGAATTATTTTTTATTTAATCATTCTATTGGGATCTTATACATGACATATGTCATGCATTTAGGAATGAAAATGTCACATCATTTTTCAAACTAACGACAGTATAATAAAGGGACAAAAATAAAAAGCAATAGGACTCAATCAATACAAAAAAGAATATAGGGTGTTAATGAAATAAATTCTAAGAATACTAAAATCATACGTAAGCAAAACCCTTAAAAGATAAGTTGGACTTTCTTAACTAGTGCAATTATGGAGTTTGTTGGTGGAAGAAAGTTAAGTTACTTGAAATATCTGCAAAACAAGACTTCTTAATGAGATTAAAGAGATTTGGATGATTGGATCAATGTAGGGAAGAGAATGACAATCTGCAAAGATAATGATGCAATAATAAAAAATATGATGAACAATAAGCATTGGGAGAATCTTTTTTTTTTTTTTTTAAGGAAAAAGTCTTGATCTTTTTACTTTAAGAGAGAGGTAAAATTATCTATTTTCTTAGTATTAACAATTTATAATTCTGATCAGATGATAAGTGTTTTGGATGTCGGTGAATTATTGTTAAATGGATATCATAATATCACGATTGGACAAAAATGACCTTGGAGGGGTGTCTTTATTTGATGAATGTACTTTCTTCCCCTTTAGTAGGCGCAAGTCCTCTATCCTTATTTAGGCATCCGAAGTTAACCTTAATCGCCCATCTAAGGGTTGTCCGAGGGGATCCTTGATGGTCCAAGATGTTGTATCATGAGCGTGGGACCTAGTTTTTCCACATGTCACCCCTAACTGTGCCCTAGGCTCATAAATTTCCCGGGTATATCAAGCATGATCCTTAGAGACAGCCTGTTTCCTTTATTCTTTCAAGAGCAAAAAATTCATGTGCTCTGTCATGGAAGACTTTACTGATGTTGAGGTGAGCTAGGATTATAAAAAATATCAAAGGGAACACTCGTTTTGCATAGCGAAATTGTCAAGGAAACCTAAGGATCATGATTATTGTGTTGCAAAAGCACATATTTCCTACTCATTTTTAGGAGAAACCAATAGGTAAGGAATATAGACAGAGACAAAATCCGGCTGTGTTTCGCAAGGAAGCACATGGAGGATAATGGGCAGATTTCTTAAAAAGTCAATGACATAAAGCATTACAGGTAATGCATCCTTAGCCATTACGTTATTTTGGTAATTGTTCCACGATTTTCTGTTTGACACAGAAAAAAATCACATCTGCTGCAATCCAACATGAAGAATAAAATACAGAAATCTGTTGATAAGGTTCCGGATGTTTACAGCAATATCTTAAAAATTCACAAGATGAAACGCATTTACATAATCTTATTTGGGGAAACGAATGTACATTGATCTAACATCAATCTGTATATTTTGTTGCTGTTATGACGGTAAGCCATCTGTACCTGTGGAACTATAGTCAGAAAACCTACCCAATAAATAAATAAATAAATAAAATCGGGCTCTGAACCTTCAATTATATTTTCAGTAGTAATTGAGTTACTTTTGTTTCCTAAGTTTGAAATGCATACGTTCAAGATTCTACAAGAGAATTGAGGCTTTAAAACGGGAAGCAATTTATTGACTTTTGTTATGAAAAAACAAACATCTAAAAGGGGTCATCGAACACCTTAATATCCAGGCAATCATGTTTCATAAACATCACAAGTTCCTTATCATGCACTGCATTGACGACAGGATCCCATGTTCAAATCCTGTTGTTTGACAAAATAGAGATGTAACTTTTGACAGCCATGAGCATATCAGAGTTTTGCCAAGTGATTTAAGTGTACTCGTAAGGATCACATTTTGACAAAAAGAAGGGAAGTTTAAATTGAAATTAATTTGACACACTATTAGACAAAGAAATGAAGCGAGAACATTGACTATCATACAACTGCAGTACTTGATTGCAGTAACCAACGTAGCTGAAAATAAATCAGTGAGCAAGCATAACACAAGTATGGGCGGATGTCATAAAAGGTATACAAGGTTGTCACCAGATTATGCTTTGCCACGTGTCATTGGTCTAGGTGCACAGAGGTGGAATGCTTCAGCTCTGAGTAGGGGCAGCAGGATTGGTACTTGGAAACGTTGCTAACCCATTGCTACTATCTGGATTAGCATTTTCTTCACTTGCATGTCGAACAAACTCCTCAGGGGACATGTGGGAACCATGGCAAGCACAAACAATCCTGATTTGATTTGCACTGTATTTGTAGGTAACACCAGAAATCGTTCTGCCATTTGGGCCAGGTGCCGTGGTAGAAACCCACGGCAAATTTGGATAGGAACCACATCCCCCAAATTTTACGGCTGGACCAATACCTGGCTTTATGGCTGAAAAGTCAAAACAGAGGGTTTCTGCTGTTGATTGCTCGGGTGCATCCTTTGGCCTAAGGTTCATGGTGCTTCCTTTAGCATCATCTTCGGTATGAGAAGAGGACCCTTCCTCTGCAATTAATTGTTTGCCATCGCCTTTGGCTCGTCCCAATGTCCTCCCATCATATTGTGCAACCTCAGGAGAATTTCGTGCAATAGCTTGCATGGCTGCTACACACGAATGACAAAGATAAATAGAAGAGATTCATTTTGAATCATATGCCAAAACAGCATAAAATGACTTAAAATCAGAATTACAATGAGAAACAGTAGATAGTATCAATATCAACAGCCAATGAATCAGTAAGCATCCAAAATGTAATGAATCTATAGCAGGGACAATCTGGGAGAAAAGAGCAATTAGAACAATCTTGCATATTTAAATCTGAAAAATTAATATCCTTGTCAATCTATTGCCTGGTCTCGTGCAAAGATGTTATCGGTTGACCATTTAAAATTTACACATAAACACGCATGGACACACATGTCCAAGTTTTCCACATCTTCAATAGTTTTAATAAGACTAATCAATCTATCTTCCTAGGCAAGGAAAAAAGACATCAATAGGCATGGGATGTAAAAAAGGTACACATTATGATCATGTGCAGGAAAGATCAGGACTCTATGCATGGTGATGAAGGCCGAAACGGTGGCATAATAATCTCATGCAAATTTCTAAATTCGAAAATTCCACCGCATATTCTTTAAGAATTGAAAAGATTAAAGAAACGATAAATGGTGAAAAGAATGACCTTGAGAAATCTTCAGCACATCATTCTGCTTCTCAGCATTTGACGGAGCTCTGCCATAGGAAGTGTTGAACTGTTGAAGATGAGAGACCAAGCCAAAGGAATTATCCTTATCCAATGTTGGAAGCTGGACTGGGGAATAACCAAAAAATACTGGCAAATTTCCAGGATTCACAGATTGGTTCACAGTTCGCTGCTCGCAGTTTGAAGTAGGCAACACCGGAATCATGCCTGTTATCGGATGGCCTGAAGTGCTGGGTGCACCAACAGAGTTAGACTCCTTCACTGGAAATGAGTAAGGCACATTCATGATGCCGACCGGTTGGACTGAGAATGGAACTCCATAACTCAAGTTTCCCTGCTTAAATTCATTTTCTGAAGAACCATTGACCCTCCTCTGTCCTTGTAACTCCACAACACTTGAATCAGAAAATCCACGAACCTCCTTTGTAGCCTCAGGAGGACCACCAACTCCAATAAATTGTTTGGGGCCATCATCATGGTGAGAAGCCAACCTTGAGGTGGAACCCTCAACTTCAGACTCTGCGACATCTTCATTTTCAGCAGTTGAGCCATCTTCTGTAGTTATGGAAATATATGATTTCTTGTCATGTAAATCAGTATGATGAGCATCTCTCTCATGCTTCTTCCGATTATTTAACTCATCAAATAAATGTTTACGCTTGTTACCAAGGTCTGATCTTTTTTCTTCATCAGTTTCAGCAGATCTAGTGCTTGAAACCCACAGCCCCCTATTGTTCAAGTTAATAGAAGCATCTGCATCAGCATTGTTCTTGGAAAGGTCATTGAAGAACTTCTCTTGAGGTATCACTGAATCACTTCTTTGAGATCCAGTGCTCGAATCCTGCTTCTGGGTATTACCATGAAGAAACTTTTTAAAATCATCTCCCAATTTGTTGCCTTTATCACCTTCTTCCATCCTAGTATCTGAAGAGCTGCCATTTTTACCTTTGGATTTGGCAGATGATCCACCACAACCTAGACCCAAACTAAGCTCAAGCCCATTTTCATCCTCCATATTCAAGAACGGAAGATGTCAATCCGACCAAGTTATAAACTGTTCCAAAAATCTCTTTCACAAATACTATCCCTCACATTCTACCCCAGAACCAATGGGTAGCGATCTCCAAATGCCCTGCCTTGGTGAAAGTTGATCTTTCTCAACGAAAAGAGACAAGAAAGAGAAATTAGTTTCAACAAAACTGCAATATATACAAAGGAGAGAATAAATATAAAAATCACTGATAATAAGACATAATATTCAATTTACTGCTTACTAAAGCCCCACCAAATTCACATTGCAAAGTAATCATTATAGGATAAAAATGGTGAACTTGCAAAAATACAAGAACTTTATATAGAAACTATTCAAATTCTTTGATTTCATACTTTTGAACAGCATTGAAAGCTGTAATCACTTTTTAAATTTAATTAGACTAAACTCCAGAACAGGGAATTAACTTTACATCACCGAGCAACTCCTAATCTAAAGCATGTTTAGTTTCGATAAAGCCAGAAGCCCAGAACTAAAAGAAATGGAAAATAATAAGCCTGGAACAAGATGTTTGAGCGTCCTTCCCACACATTAAAACCATAAAAACTCTCTAAACTTCTTCAAACATACCAACTCCTGACCAAATGCAAAAGATACATAGATCAAAACCTTAAGATTCCCAATTCTCAAGAATGAGCCCACAAAACAAAACACGCCAACCAACAGCCCGTACAAAAAAAACATGGTGGCTCAGCTAGCTAAAGCTAATTTAGTTAATCCCGTATTCCAATCTGCTTTCTATTAGTTTCTCAACAATTAAAAAAGAATACCCAGATCTGTATATCATGAAATTAGGAAAGCAAAGTTCAAAAATTTAGTAAATTTACAATAATCCATTAAACTCATGCATACAAGAATAAAAACCCATAACTTGGACTCAAAATTAGCTCCTAAACCAAGCTTAATTTAGTAAAAACTCAATACACATATATGTATATCGAGATGCAAGTCATGCCAAGAAAGCGGAGACAAAAATATAAAAAATATACACATACGTTACAGCTGTCAAAAGCACGAAAGAAACACTTGCAAAAGAGAAAGCAAGCACCTGAATCGAGACGAGAGAGAGGATCGGACCTTAAGCCAAAAGAAGTTTTTGAACAGTGAGCAGCAAAAGAGGTAGACAGGAGGCAAGTAAGAAGAGAAGAAGGGATGCTTATTATTATTACAATTATTCAGGGCAAAACTACCTCATTTCTTTTTGCGTTTTAATTTTTTTCTTTGTACATGTGATTATCGTGTAGGGCTAAATTCTCCGTAGCCGCTTCCACATGTTTTTGGGCGGACTTGTGTTTATCTTTTTGTGTCGCTCTTTGGAATAATTCGTGTCCAAAGTAGTTTGCCATTGCTTTGCTTCATTTTCTACAAATATATTGATTGTCATCATATATATATATATATATATATATATATATAAAGCAAGTCAACTTACATACGTATAACACCCATATGTCAAATTCATGTATTGTAAGTATATTAATCTACTAACTCTAAATGTCATCATATTACGAACGTGTCTCCATTAATATCGTGGCAATACAAGATACTGATAAATAATCATAACCCATTATATTTTAACAAATAATTTATAACACAACTAAAAGAATAAGATCTGGTATGCACTATTTATTAAGACTCATATTTAATGTTCATTAAAACTCATGTATACTGTTTAATTTACTACAGTAGCATTTTCGTGGTTTTTGAGATTTTTTTTTTTTAACATTTATATGCAAATTTAATATTATCTTTCATTTAGGTTAGTGATGTTTGAAAAAAAAAAAATGGTCCCTAGATGATAGGCACACATGCTTGCGTTTTATGTTTTTTTTTTCCTTTTGTTTTTTGTTTATTTATGACAATTTATTTTAATTTTTGTTTATTGAATTGGATGCAAAAATTATGAAAAAAATATTTTTTTATTTCTCATACGAAATTTTTTGAAGAACTACTCTCCTTCCTCAACTAACTAAATAATCAGTTATCATTAGAGATGAAGAGAGTAGAATTAACCTTCGAATCGGACATCAAAACTACAAAACATTTTATGTAAAAGTTCTAAAATCACTACACTCCTTAAAATTTGAATAAAAATGAATACATTCCATTAAATGTGAATGAAATTGTTGCATGGTGCTTAAATATTCTTGGTTAAATTATGGTTAAAGAAAATATTCCTATAATGGCCATTTAGGACAAATTACCATGTTTTCTTATTTTATATTGTCTACTTAAATGCAAAATTTATACTTGTTCTTGTGGTTTGATTGACTTATTATGCTCGATTGCAATTTTGAAACAAAGTTACTAGTGACTTCCCACTTATGTGTCGAAGTCACCAGTGGCTTTAGAATAATTTTACTTATTTTTTGTTTTGTTTGATACAAAGCCATCGAGGGCATCTCACTTATATGATGAAGTTATCAGTGGCTTCTAGACCAACTATCTATTCCTTTCTTGAATATAATTAAACTTATCGGTAACTTCTTATTTATGTGATGAAGTTGTTGGTAAATTCTCGAATTCATGACTCAAAGTCATCGGTGGCTTCCTACTTGTGTGAGTGAAGTCATCGATGACTCACTACTCATGCTAATGAAAGGTTATTCATCTTAAAAAACTCATATATTTTTCAATAATAGGTCGTGTTCACTAATGATTATTTGAAATTTCAATTTTCATCATCTTTCCCCTTTGAGTAGGCGATACGGCCTTAGATCGACTCGAACCCCCAAACTCTTTTGTTTTATGCCCAAACTCCCAAACTATTTTGTTTCCACATTTTAATAAAATAAACTCATTTAAATAGGCATAAGAGCATAACACAATAAAAGTTAGATTTTTATGTTCATAAGCAAACAATGTAGTCTACATTAGGTAGGATGAGACGGCGATGATATTATATCTTTTTCATACATAACCAAACCCTTATCTAGATATCTATACGGACCAGTATGTTTAGAATTTTCTAATTCTCTCTAATTAGTTAGGTGGTGACTCCTTGTCCGCCCTCCTTCACGAGGCCAACGTCAACGTAAATCATAACTTGATAAAAAAAAAAAAGACATAAAGGAAAAGGCCAATTGTGGTCTTTACCCTTGGTTCCTATTTCACAAATGCTAACCAAAACCAAAAAGGGCTATATAGTTCCAATAAATCAAAAGAAAACAAAAACAAAATAAGGGAGGGCTTGGGATGATGAGAAGAGAATCAGAAGATGGAGAATGAAACTAGGGTAGAATATAAGCCAAGGAAAAAAAAAAGGGAAAGGTTTTTCTTTTGAGCTTTACGGTTTTTTATAAAGAAAAAAGAGGGCAAAGGAGAAAAGGGAGGAAGGTAGAACAAAAAGATGGAGAGAATGGTCTATGTAATAAAAAAAAAAAAAAAGGAAAGAATTTTGAGAGGAAAAAGGGGAAAACAAGTAAAAGGGAAGGAATAATCACCACCCATGCTCACGATAGGTTAGAGAACAAATTTACCTATTAACATCGATCTTTATTACCCTTTTGAACTTCAACAATTAGTCTCTTACCCTTTTTACTTCATTCTCTATCACTATTAATAGATAAAAATGAATTTGGATGTCCGTTGATGCCAATGGATCTCAAAATCAACTTAAACTCTAGTAAGCATGGTCATTGGTCGTGTTTTGCATGTTTGACATAGCCTTAGATGTTTTTATCTTATGAGTTTTTTATATGAACACCATCTACTTGCCTCTAATTCAAGAGTAAAATTTCAAATCTTTATGATCTAGATTGGTTTCCCATTTAATACATCATGTTAGTCACCGTAGTAGCAATTTTTCAAGACAAAAATAGTTACTATCATATTTTACATGTTTGACACATTTTACATGTTTAACACATCCCTAAACATTTTTATCTTCTCGTTTTTTTTTTTTTTTTTTTTGTACAAACATCATCTATTTGTCTCTAATCTATGTGTGAAATTTCAAATCTTTAAGAAATAGATTAGTTTTTCATTTAAGTAATCTTGTTGGTTATTCCAATAGTAATTTTTCAAGCCAAAAATAGAAGCTATCATGTTTTGTATGTTTGATACATCCCTAAATTTTTTTACCTATTGGTTTTTTTGCATGAGAATATTCTATTTATCCCTAAAATGTGTTAAAATTTTATAATTTTAGGATATATTTTGATATTTTATTTAAATTTAATGATGTGTTGGCATGTTTTGAGGGAAACGGGTAAGACCTTTTCTATATTTTGGTCCAATAGTGTTTTTTTATTTACCTTTATTCTTTTATTTGTTCCATATATAACTCATGTAAAGCTAAGTTTCCAGCTGATTTACTTGGTTGCTACATAATTTTTGTTATTTATTTATTTTCCTATTGTGAATTGTAAGTATCAATAAAAGGTGTTTTTGGTTGTCATTCGTTTATCTCGTAGCATATGAAATCATCAAGTCTTCTATATTTTAGAGACCGACGACAATCTCATGTAGGTTTTAATTATAATTTTGAAAAATATTTCGTTTTAGATTAACTAGGAGAGTTAGGTCGGACCAACGAGTCTCTTATATATTCAAAACCAAAGACTTTCTCAACATTTTATCTAAAAGAAATAGCTAAATAGTATGAATTAGTTATGATGGATATGGGTCAATTTTTCCTTGCATGCCGAATTTAACACCTTAGTTTACTAGGCCATACTTGACATGTCTATTGTGTCAAAACTTAACTGGATCCAATGCTAAATTGATAAAACTCTTGATTTTGGGATCCAATGTCAATTTAATAAGATTTAAAAAAAAAAAAACTCTTTTTAGACTTAGACAGACTCGAATAAGCTTAGAATTAGACTTAGGAAATATTTTGGCAAACATTATTTTAAGAGATGATATTTAAGTAGACTAAACTCGATACCTTTTTCTAAAAAAGATGCTCTTGGGTGATTGTTATATTTTTAGTTAGTATAACCAATTTTTTACCCAAAGTCTCCGAATCCGAGTGTCTTTTTAGATTTTTTAGTTCCCTTCAAAACTAACTGATGACTCTAAACCTCTTAATTATTTTCCATAGTAAATATGGAAGTTCCATATATCGGAGAACGATAATAGTTTAACAAGTTCACTTAGGCCTAAGATCCAAATTGACAAGTAAACTTAGGCCTAAGATCCAAACCAATGTGGTTTTATTTTTTTGCTTCTTTTGATTGGGCTTAGAATTGCTTAATTTCTAAATGGGTTTTGAGCCCTAACTTTCATCCCTCGTAATGAGCTTCAATGACTTGATGACTATCTAGGTGAGAGACCGAGTTTTTTTTTTTTTTCTTCTTCTAGTTTTCAAATCATCTCATTTAAGATTGATAAAAAAATAGACACATGATTGAATTTTGCATAAAAAAAATATATGTTAGAATTGAGTGGTAACCTCAATGCGAGAACACATTAGGATGACTATGATTTTTTAATTGCATAATTAATCTCTTCATTCAGAAATTTTAAGATTGGTTTCTTTTTTTTTTTTTTTTTTAATTTTCATTTTTAAAAAATCTATTGACAACTTTGTATTTGAAACCATATCATTTAAATTTTTTAACAAGAGATCACCATGTGACAATTTTGATGCCATACTTTAAGATGAAAAGGTATGTAAAAGCTCTTCAATATGAAAAAAAAAATAATAATAAATAAAAATAAAACTCCAAGCTATGGAATTATCAAACTTGAAATTTTGTTTTCACGAAATCTTCACTCTATTTTGGGACTGCCTATCCTGCTATAAATTTATACTTTCATTAGCGTCGAAAACAGAATTGAGATTATTAAATGAACAAGGGAATGATGATGAAGTCGTATATGAGATGGCCAAACGAATATGGAAAAAGTTTGACGAAGACTGGCGACCTTAATAGGTGATATTTTCAAGAGTAAATTATAAAGTAGTCCCTCTTGTTTCAAAAAATAAATTAAATAGTATCTCTTGTCTTAAAAACTAATCATTTAATCCTTATATTTTTAAATGCACTTGTAACTAAGTCTTTTTCACTCTTTTTTAATTTATTTTGATTTTTTAAGAAATAGAAAAAGAAAAAATATATAAAAAATAGAAATATTGACAAGAAAAGAAGAAATTTTAAAAAATAAAAATAAAATTAAATTAAACATAATCAACATTGATCAAAGAACGAAATAATAGTTTTTTTTTAAAAAAAAAATCATTCATTTCTTAAAATTAAAATGGACTAATTTATAATTTGCTCGTATTTTCAATGGTTATGGTTTTGGCTCCTCATCACAAGTTTAGATTTGTTAAATTTTATTTCATCTCAAACCAAATCAAATAATTTTTAAGTCATTTGGATATATATATATATATATATATATATAGATCAAAAGGCATAGATAATAACATAAATCATGAGGTCTCAAAAATTAAGAGTGCCCTGTATATCCTTATATTCAAATCCAACCAGTTGAATGCTTGAAAATTAACAAATCAAATCTTTTTGCTAATAATTTTGACAACCATGCATGCTACGTAATTAATTAGTAACATTTTTCTTGTCTATGGTTTCCTATGCTGTGATTAAGTCAAATAAGGATATAAGTTAATACAGGATAAGCACCGTGGTCGTCAGGATGTCCTTTGCTTTAGCAATAAGATTTTGTCAATTTGTCATGTCTGATCGTAGCCCTACGTGTACTGGGTTTTGAACAGATGAGCCTTTGAATAAATGGACGCAACTGGATTGGATCAACTTTTTTTAGCAATGGATAGACAGCAGTAATTCAGGGTGTCTTTTATTGGCATTAATCCTCTCTATTCGCTATCCTTCTCGACTCGATCCTGGTATGTATGAGAAATGATGCTAATAGTGGCTAATATAGAATATAATTAGGGATGTCACTGGATAAGATTTGAATAGAATAATAATAAGTTTGAATTCGATTTATTTACTAAACTTATCGAATTAGATTTTATAAATTCAAATTCAGATTTTGTGATTATCCGTCCGATTTCTAAAGGATTAGATCGAATTCAGATATGCATTGAATTTATCATTTATTTATTTGTTTTTATAAAAAAAATATTTCAAATGCCTCATCATTAAAAAGAAAAAATTAAATAATTTCAATAAAAAATTATATTAAAAGTTTAAATTAGGCAAGAAGTATGATCGAAAGTTAAAAAAATAATAAAAATGAAAATGTTTTCTCTAAACCCAACCGGTAAATCTTTCTACTCAAGTGTCAAACTTTTGATTTTTGATTTTTGATTTTTGATTTTTGTTTGAATACTCACAATCACTAAGATTGAAAAATACTGATGTATTTAAAATGAACTACCATGTGAGATTTTTTATCTGAAATAGAAAAAAGTAGGTCCTACTTAGATTATTTATTAAAAAAAATGCAATTTGAGTATGTAATCTTTGATCATTTTCTATTTAATTGCTCAATATTTTTTTTTCTGTTTGAATTTTCTGAGTCATCTAAAACTGAAAAAATACCAACATTGTCAAAATTCATTAACATGCGGTAATTTTCAATGGATACATGAAAAAAAAAAAGGTTTTACTCAAATTTATTGAGAAAAAAATAAAAAAATATAAAACTTTTATAAAAGAAAATAGTTTGTAAGAATAAAAAAATATCCAAATCAATTATTATTATACGAGTAAACTTGATTTGTTTAGATGATTCAAGCTTAAAACTTTTGGATTAGGCAAATAAAATATTTAAATGATGATATTTTAGAAGTGTTTTAAGAAATTAGTCAACAAACTTATCGAGTTTATCCGATAAATAATAATTGATTTATTTCTTTTTTATAAAAAGTTTTTCTTTATGTTTTTTATTTTGTTCTCAATGATTATAAGTGAAATCCATATCTTGCCACGTGCTACTTAAAAACATGAGGCACTTAGTATTTTATAGTCTTAAGTGCGGAAAGAACTCAAATAGAAAAACAATTAAATGTTAAACATTCAAATAGATAGAATAAAAGTTGAGCACTCAAACATAATTTTTTCCCTAAATTAGTTTAAGTGGGACTCACTTTTACCACGTGTTAGTTAAAAATTGTCACATGACGGGTCATTTCAAACTTATCACATGTTATTTGGTTACCAAAAATAGAATTGTGTGAATGAAAATTGAAGTTTTATTTTCACTTTTTAGATGTTTGGTTGAAAGAAATAAAGTATAAATAAAAACAAAAATTACACATGGCTTTATTTCCATGTGGAAGGCGAGAAATAAAAATAAGGAATGATAATAAAATTTTTTTCTTTAAAATAATGATATATTATTTTTATTCATTTTGTATCAACTATTTCAATCACTACTACCACTATCTTTATTGGCGGTATTGATAAAAAAAAATTATTATTATTATTATTATATCACTATTCCTCTTCCACCACTACCATCATCACTTTTATTATACCACCACCACCTCCTCTTCATCCTCCTCCTATTTCACCACCACTACCACTATTATCACAATCATTTTTAATATTTTTACTAGCATCATAGTTGATGAAATTATTTTTTTAATAATTATTCTTATTCGTACTAAAAATCAATTATTAAAAACTTTAAATTTTATTTTGATTCCTTACTAGTATTTTAAACACAATTAAAAATATAAATATCATTTTGATTTACGTATTCTCATTTCAGATTGTTCATTCATTGTAATCAAACCACATTTTAGTATTTTTCAATCTCGGATGATTTTGGACACTCAAAAGAATAAAAATAAAAAAGATACTCAAATAGAAGGATTTATCTGTTGGACACTTAAATTGCAACTTTTCTTTGTTTTGAAGAATAGTCGTCAATGTAGGAAAAAAAAAAACCAGAATTATATAACGTTAACTAGCATCTAGCGTAAATGACCCTAAACTTAACCCTAGTGTAATTAAAAATAATATTAATATCATTTCTGATCTCGTTGTTATTACATCAGATTAAAATAGATTTGTATTTGACCATTCAATAAAGGGATTAACGAATTAGAATCCAGATCATAATTAGATTCTAATTATAAAAATTATATATAATATCTATTTAATTACATCAGAATGAGATGGAATTGGGATCAAAATCCTATTTATTAACAGTCCTAAATATAGGTTTGTACGGTTTTTAATTAGCACTCGTGTTTTGTGTATAAATATGAAGAGAATTTGCAATATTTAAGGAAAGTCAAGTTTGCATGTTTTCTTTTTAATCTTGTTTCCATACACAAATTAAGTGCGTGTGATTTTCTACTCATTATCGCACGCATCTTATCCAGCCAACCTCATTTCTTAATTTGTTCTTTCCTCTACTGCACTTGACGTTAGCCTCTTGTGGGAAGGAAAAAAAAAGGAGAGAGTTTCGGAGCAATGGCAGGGGGCATCGTGGATGCAGGAAACCTTAAGAGGGCTCATCTTTATGAGCACAAGATAACTGGTTATTTCATCTATGCTTGCGTCGTTGCAGCAATGGGAGGATCACTTTTTGGATATGATCTTGGTGTTTCAGGTCAGTTTTATTTTCTTTAAATATTAATCAGATTCATTAAATTTATCATACTTCATTTGTTTGCCTTTTGTTTTCGAATTAATTTCACATATATTACGTTGCGTCTCATTAATTCCATAATTAATTTCTGCCTTGCTTTCAGGTGGAGTCACTTCCATGGATGATTTCTTGAAAGAATTCTTCCCAAAAGTGTACAGAAGGAAGCATGCACATCTGAAGGAGACAGATTACTGCAAATATGACGACCAAATTTTGACTCTCTTTACATCCTCATTGTACTTTGCAGCCCTGATTACCACATTTGCGGCCTCCCACGTAACAAGAAGCCGAGGTAGGAGAGCTAGCATCCTCGTTGGAGCGACAAACTTCTTTATAGGAGCGGTTTTGAATGCTTTTGCAAAGAACATTGCAATGTTGATCATAGGACGATGCTTTCTTGGTGCTGGAATTGGATTCGCCAATCAAGTAATTAATTAATTAATTAAACCCCAATATTTCTCTTAATCAAAATGAAATAAAAAAATCTGAAGATCGTTGCTTTTTTCTTCTTCTGGAATTGTATTATGGTACAGGCTGTTCCCTTGTACCTATCAGAAATGGCTCCTGCAAAAGTCCGAGGAACAGTTAATCAACTGTTTCAACTGACAACCTGCTTAGGAATCCTAATTGCAAACTTGATAAATTATGGAACCGAAAAAATTCATCCATGGGGATGGAGGCTATCTCTTGGATTAGCTACAGTTCCTGCAGCTGTAATGTTTGTTGGTGGTATTTTCCTTCCCGAGACCCCTAACAGTCTTGTAGAACAAGGTAAACTAGACGAAGCGAGAAGAATATTGGAGAAAATTAGAGGCACAACAAAGGTTGAAGCTGAGTTTGCTGATCTTGTCGATGCAAGTAATGCAGCACGAGCGATTAAGCACCCTTTCAGGAATCTTTTAGCAAGGAAAAACCGACCCCAGTTGGTAATTGGGGCTTTGGCCATCCCTGCATTTCAACAGCTTACCGGCATGAACTCCATACTCTTCTATGCTCCCGTCTTATTCCAGAGCTTGGGCTTTAGCAACGATGCTTCTTTGGTTTCATCCGTGATTACCAATGCAGCACTTGTTGTTGGAGCACTCATTTCAATGGCTTTAGTAGACAAATTTGGCAGAAGAGCTTTCTTCTTGGAAGCTGGGACAGAAATGATCTGCGTCATGGTATATTATTAGTAACTCACTCTTATCTCTTAATGTTAACAAACTCTACAAAAAAAAAAAAAAAAAAGAAGAAGAAGAAGAAGAAGAAGAAGAAGAAGAAGAAGAGAAACCATAACCTGTTTTTGTTCGATTAATTTGCAGATTGCTGTTGCCATAACTTTGGCCGTGGAGTTCGGAGATGGGAAGACAATTCCCCAAGGAATTGGCATCTTCCTTGTGATTATCATTTGTTTGTTCTGCGTGGCATATGGAAGGTCTTGGGGTCCTCTCGGATGGCTGGTTCCAAGCGAACTCTTCCCCTTGGAGATAAGGTCTGCTGGTCAGAGCGTGGTGGTGTGCGTCAACATGATCTTCACAGCTTTGATAGCACAGTTGTTCCTTGTCTCACTCTGCCACCTTAAATTCGGAATTTTCTTGCTCTTTGGTGGCTTGGTTGTCATCATGAGTGCCTTCGTCTACTTCTTGCTGCCAGAAACAAAGCAAGTACCAATCGAGGAGGTGTATCTTCTATGGGAAAATCACTGGTTCTGGAAGAGGATAGTGGGAGATGGGTCCAGCTCATCACATGTATAGATTGTAGAATCTGTAGGAATGAGGAAAACATGGTGGTGGTTACGGATTATGTTCTGCAAGGAACAATATGCTATTCCATATATATACCATATATATTTCACAAACAACACTCTAATTTAAACGCGGTTTCACTTTGTAAACCTTCATTTTGCATCCTCTATTTCAAATTTGATTGCATATTGCCAAATCCATCAGTCAAATGCAAGGTAATAATAATTATTATTCAAATGCAACTCAACTTCAGAAATGCCATGGTGCTTCTATATAAATGCTAAATAATTCATTTCTTTTGTTGCCTAATGAAGTTCTCACATAAGTTGATCAGGGAACATAGAGATTCCCCACGTTGATCAGGGAATAGGGCAAGGCGGGGCGCCCCATGAACGAGGATGAAGTGGGTATGATATTTCACCTCCCCACCCCGTTTGTCTCATTTCATGATTTTCATCCCTAAAATTATAATTATACCCTATATAAAATCCGTGATTAGTGACTTTTAAGATTTATTTTCTATATGAATTATATATATATATATATTTTTGTTATAGCTTGAAATTTGGTAAGAGAATGAGATAAAATAAGACAGAAAAAAAAATTTGATAATTTTTTTTTGCACTATTTGCCCTTTAAGAAGGGAATGGTATGACAAATTTTACTCTATTTAGGACATGGGGTGAAAATGAGACAAAATTTTCAAGAGCTGGGCAGGACGAGGATGGCGATCACCGCCCCGGCCTGCCCCATTGCCATCCCTGTTTACAGCCCCAAAATTAAACCAATATTCAACTTAAGGCTTTGCCAATTGATCAAGGATAAACAAGACCCCAGCACCCAAGTCAAGTCAACAAACTCCTGCCAAACGATACATTAGGCACATCACATGGACATGGAATATCATAATATCACAGAATGCAAGGCCTTTTGGGGGAGAACAAATTCAAAACGAGGATGGTTTTTCAAACTTTTCAAAATGAGTATTTGAGAAATTTACTCTTGTTTCAAAATCTAAGACCACATCAAATACAACTTTCAATCATCAAACATCAAGGTGGATTATGCAGTCGTTAAAAAAAAAAAAAAACAAAAACAAAAACAAAACAGGAGAGAACATGATTATGCATGGGTGGGTAGTAAGACAGACTATTATAGCTACGAGGATTTATAAAGTTTTGTTATATATCATGCCAACAGTTTAGCAAGTTCATCCACTCTTAAGCTTCCATGTGGTAATGAATCCTCATATTGTTCATTAAAATCTTTTCTTCTTCCAACTTTAGAACCCTTCCTCTCGCTATCTCCTCCCGTGTTGGAGACAGTTGTAACTTGTTTAACTTCCAAATCCCCATTTTCTTGCTTCTCACTCTTTTGAACCACTGCGTTCCTGGGTCGGTGCCTAAAAACAGGACCAGGAGTAGCTGACTGGGCAAAGGCAACTGCCTTTTGGTAAACCGCATCAGCATCCAAATTTACATCAACTAGGACAACTGCACTCCCAATCTCAACAGCTTGCTTCAATAATTCTAAAACTCCCTCTGTATAAGGCTCCCTCAACTTTGCCGTTTCACTAAAATCTTGCGAACCTTCTGAAACATTTTGGTGCTCCTCCATATTCCCAATGCTTGTAAGTGTGGTGCCAGGTTCCAATGACGTAGTAGTTAGCGTTTCATCAATATACCCTGTATCATCCATTATCACTTCACTGCCACTTATATTGCTCATGGCTTCAGACTCGCTAACAGCAGAACTGCCAATGTTATCTGAAGTAGTTTTACTTTCATAGATTTCTGTTGTGGTTGAAATAGAAACCTTAGCTGCGGATGTCTCATCTATGTCTTTTTTGGATAGATCCTCTCCTTTCTCTTCAGAATCTATCCTGGATGTTTCCATATTCCGTGTGCTTGCATCCTTTACTGAGAGAGTTCCATTTTGTTGGTCCTCCAAAAGTGGTACAACAGAATTTGCACTATCAATGCTGGAACTCTTAGCTTCATCACAATCATTTACTGGTATCGTGAAGGCAGACTTCCAATCTCTTCCCCTCCACATGAGGATGTGCTCGTGTTCAAATGAGATCAGCACACAAGGGACAAGGTCCTGCAATTTGAAGAATCAAGGTAATTTTTGTCATAATTTTCCAAGTATGAATTTGATGAAATGAGAAAAAAATAATAACTGAGCAGAGCAACTAAACAGACCCTGAGTTTGGCACCAATTTTCCTAAAGTCACTTCCATTCATCCCTTGACAATTTATTCGGACCAATTCACACTCTTCAAACGCCTCTCTGACATTTTTCACTAGATCAAGGTACACGCCGTTTTTTCCTGCAAGCCATACAAAACACTGTAACGTCACCAATTTGTTCATGAACACTCACATTTCATTTCTCTTCTCATCTTGTAAATGATATATCAACTTCAAAGAATAGCCATGACCACTGAGCATGCTACCTAGTTTACATATCGGTATCAGTTTCCGCCCTCTATTGCGCATAGCCGATGCTTGTTGCAGTGTTAGACCCTCCGGAGCTCGTTGAATCAACCTTGGATAAACAGGCGTTACAGGTTTCCACAACATAAGAGGAAAGCGAGGTCGATATCTATAGTTGTAGTTTCTTCCTCGAAAAAGGAATAACACCCCTCCTTTTCTGTAAATTATCTTCCCTCCAGTCCTTTCCTGTCCATTATACACAGCAAATATAAATCGCAAAACAGACAAACAAATCAAACGCCAAATTAACCATCAAGAAGAAGTAGAAAACCACCTCTAATTGCTGGCACACATTGTCCATATCAACAGTACATACTCCTTTGCATTTGATTTTACACACTCTCCTCCGCTTCCAAAGAGCATGTATATTATCCAACATGTTATGAGTCAAACCATCTCTCCCTGCCAACACCAAAGAAAAACACAAAGAAATCCAAGAATTCAGCATGATTCATCCTCAGACACCAAAGTCTGAATCAAAGCAAACAGAAACATACCCATATTCAATTGTCGCTTTGCTTTCAAGCTTCCATCAACCAACTCTTCAATCTCCTCTTGCGTCAAAGGCTCACCTAATATCTCCTCTCGACTCTTCGCGTACCTAGGACCCGACCCAGGCAAAAAGGGACCCGGAGACTGAACAGGCTTGACTCCCTTCTTATCCGGGGGAGGCAAAACAAACGAATCAAAATCTTTCAACTTCTTCTTGCTGGGCGGCAACGGGGCCCGCCCGGTCCACGGCCTTGGCATCGTGGTGGGCCCAAAAGGCGCATACGGCGCCTCCCTCAATTTCAACGGCTTCACCTTCGGCGTCTCCGTATAGCTGTATTTGAACTCGAACGGCGCGCCGTCTATTACATAGGAGAGGCCGTCTTCGCTTACCTTGATGTCCGCTTTCCTGTCAACGAGCGGTTTGCCGTTGTTTTGTGGCAGGGGCACTCTAGTAATTCTGGGCCGAAATGCGGGGTGGGTTTTTTTCAGTGGTTTGGAGTACTTAGATTTTTTACCCGGTATTGAAGGAGAAGAAGGAGAGGAAGGTGTGCCAGTGGATTTGAAGAAAGAATTGTCTTCTTCGGTGGTGTTTTTCGGGTCGTAATTAGTGACGATGTTGGTGGCGGAAGTGAATCGGCGACTGCGGCGGATATCGTCTTCGATTTCTTGCTGGGCGCGTTGGTGTTGGTTGAATTTCTCTGCGTTGGCGTTGTTCCATCGAGAGAAGCGGACCTCGGTGGACGGGCGGTGAGATGGGTTCGGGTTCGGATTCGGTGGTGCAAAGACTGGGAATGGGATTGGAAATAATTTTAGCGCCATTAACAGAAATGGTGACGACGGTTGAAAATCTAAGAGTGGATGAGAGGGCTGTTTAGGAAGAACTTGGGAGAAGGTTAAACGGTGTCGGTTTTTTGTGTTGGGAAATTGTTTTATCTAAGTGGTCCGTGTCGTAATATTATGCAATAATAAGGTCAGGTTCCTAACGAGGAGGAGAAAATGATTAAATACGGAGTATCTTAACAGGGACCGACCGACAAACAGACATCAGGGAGTGGCAAGCTACTGACTGAAAAGCTAGTGGAGGTCTTTCATGGAGGGAGATATAACAGGTACTACTTCAGTAGTCATGGCTTTTTTGTTAATTTAGTCTGGTTTGAGCTTCTCAGGTTTTCTTGTGTTTGTGTGAGTGCGTGTGTTTTTTTTTCTTTTTTTGGGTGCTTAGTTTGGCAACCTCTTCACTCCCTTGGTACTGATAGAGGCAGCTTTTGATGGACTATCCTTTGCTTTTTTTCTAAAATGAGAAGAGACTTAAATTTTCACTTCTTCAAGATTCTTTATTTTCATAATTTAATTCGCTGTTCAGAAAGCAGATTATTATTAAGTGTATAAAAAAAATCTTTTGAGTATTGATTTGGTTATATTTGCCCAGGCTCTTCCTTTGGTTTTTCAAGGCGTAGCTGCAAATACAAGGGGCAGAGTTATTAATTTGTGTGGTCTGATCAGATTGCTGATGTTAATTTGAATTAGTTGGTGATAGCACACTTGCGTGAATGGAAACCTCTGCCCTCTTTCAGAGGTTAAGTCTTGTAGCAATTAGGAGATTGCTGATGATTATTGGTGTGGCAGTTATTGTCATCATTCTTTCTCAATGTTTTGCACTTCCCTATGGGAAAGGAAGGTCTTTATCACCTGCTAACGAGGGTTCTGTAGTTATGCTGATCACCAATCCCACCCTATCAAACAGTTCAAAGTTGAGCAAAATACATGTATTTAATATCATGGCAAATGATTCTGATTCCTCTGCTTTGGATGAGGATGAAATAGAAGACACAGATGCAGATTATGAGTTGTCATCTGATAAGATTGAACAAAATGATGTCTTGCTGAAGGTGGGGACAATGCACGGTAAAAGTTCGATAACGGGAAATGTTACAAGTACAGACAATACTTCTTCACAAGAAAAATCTATAGAAACTGGAAGCAAACACCTGAAGCAGGTTGAGAAAACTGAAAGCTTGGAAGCAATCAGCAGTGAAACATATGGAGGACTTCAAAATAATGCTGGCGCTAGGCCAAGTGTATTCTTGGGTATTTCTAGAAAGAACGGCGAAAATACAGATACAAATTTGAGAACCTCTGAGTCATTCTTCCCTGCCAAAGTAGTTTCATTGGACCATATGGAGGCACAAACCGAGAATGCTGAATTATTACAGACCATTGCAGTCACCTCGAAAAAGAATTCTACAAGGGCTAGTATATCCACATTGAAGAGGAGGAAGCAATCAATGTCAATATCCCAAATGAATGCACTATTGCTTCAGAGTCTTGTTGCTTCCCATTCTATGGTAAGAATTCAAGTTTCAAGAGTGTTTGAATGGTGGGAATGGATTTTGTTAGTTAGGACTTTCATTTATTCCTTTTATTGGTAATAGAAGCCAAGGCGGTTGTCTGTTCGTGATCGTGAACTTTTATCAGCAAAATTGGGGATAGAGAATGCTCCTCGCACAGAGAACCCTCCAGGACTTTATGCCTCTGCCTTTCGAAATGTTTCCATGTTCAAAAGGTGAGCCTCCTTAAATGTTCAGTGTTGTATCAATGAACTTATTTGTATTTAAAATTTCTATCTGTTAATCACCTGGTTTTGATTCTATCTGTAAGCAGTGACGTGGTTTGGTAAAATAAGACTAGCATACATGTAGTGATGTAGAATAATGAGCAGTATTCCAGGTATTTGTTTGTTGCAGAAGGCTTCTATCCTTTCTGCAGCATATCTAGACATCAGTTTCTTCTAGTGCCAATCTCTGTAGCATTAATATTGTTGGTCAACATAATGATATGTGACCAGTTCTTCCTTCTCTCTCTCTCTCTCTCTCTGTCCCTCCCCAGTTCTTAATAATATTAATGACTATGTTAAATCACATCAATACTGTCTAATATTTGAAGCAGAGAACACTAAGCTATTTTGTTTCGCCAACATCCATTCACTGTATGCTAATAGTTATACTTACATGGTATGTGTCCAATAGTTTCAGTTCCTGGATAACTTGACGCAAAAGCATTCTAAAATTGGTGAATCATAATATTATTCTGGCCTCTGGGATACACTAACTGCAAAATTATGCCTGCATGTAGCTCCATCTGAGGTCCTGAAGAGATGCCAATGTGTTCTTGAATAATTGATCTGCCTGTTGCTTGGAGATTACCTCTCATACCTCTCATAGTGACTGAGATAAAGCTTCTATATGTGTCATTTGCAGGAGTTATGAGTTGATGGAACGCATGCTCAAAGTTTATATCTATAAGGAAGGAGAAAAACCAATATTTCATCAGTCAAAGATGAGGGGAATATATGCCTCAGAAGGATGGTTTATGAAGCTGATAGAGGGAAACAAAAAGTTCGTAGTGCGGGATCCAAGAAAAGCTCATCTATTTTACTTATCATTTAGTCCACATATGTTAAGGATGACATTATTTGACCAATATTCTCACAATCAAAAGGAACTTGAAGAATATTTGAAGAACTATGTGGATTTACTTGCAAAAAAGTATAGTTTCTGGAACAGAACAGGAGGAGCAGATCATTTTCTTGTTGGCTGTCATGACTGGGTATGCTTTACAGTTCTGTGCATCGTATAGATTTAATTCATAGGTTTCATGATTGTTATGTTTTACTATGCTGATATACTGTTCTTCAAGTGCCTTAGAATTTTGATGGTTTATTAGAAGTATCCGATAACATGCATGTGACTTAGTAGGTTGGCTCTAGGCAAACCTTGTTGCCAAATGGTTAGGCAGAATTAATTTGCAATGTATGATGATGATATGCCTAACTGTTATCCTTGGCCATAAGCTACCTTATCTAGTTTACTTATTTTTGTGAGACTGAGCTAATATCTTTGAGAAGTTTGAATGGTGCTCATAAAGGGATGTTTAAAGTGACCTGGATAGCAAATGACCCTGGATTTTGATGGTTTTTAGAAAAATAATAATTGTAGAATGTGACGATAAGTGTCTTGCTATCCTTTAGCTAACCTAGTCATAGTGTCATATTTATTTGATATTTCTGTGCAGTAGCTCATTTCATGTGATATTGACTTTCAGGCCTCCCGACTCACAAGGCATCATATGAGGAATTGCATCAGGGTTCTTTGCAACTCCAATGTTGCCAAAGGTTTCAAAATAGGCAAGGATACTACACTGCCTGTTACATACATACGTTCTGTTGAGACCCCTCTAAAAGAAATCGGAGGGAAACCTCCTTCAGAAAGGCTGATTCTGGCCTTTTTCGCAGGAAGCATGCATGGTTATCTCAGGCCAATCCTGCTGGAGTACTGGGAAAATAAGGCACCTGACATGAAAATCCTTGGTCCGATGCCTCGTGATATTGAAGGCAAAAGAAGATACAGGGAGTATATGAAGAGCAGCAAATATTGCATATGTGCCAGGGGTTATGAAGTTCACACACCTCGAGTGGTTGAGGCCATTTTCTATGACTGTGTGCCAGTCATCATATCAGATAATTATGTGCCTCCTTTTTTCGAGGTGTTGAACTGGGAGGCGTTTTCTGTATTTATTCAAGAGAGAGATATCCCAAATTTGAGAAACATTCTGCTGGCAATCTCAGAAGAGAAGTATGCCGCAATGCAGTTAGGAGTTAAGAAAGTAAAACAGCATTTCCTTTGGCACAAAAAACCAGTGAAGTATGATTTATTCCATATGATTCTTCACTCAGTTTGGTACAACAGAGTTTTTCAGATGAACAGCAAATGAAGGAGTTAATACTTTTGGTTTCCGGGCAAAGGAAAAGCTGAGAAAAGTGAGGAAGCACATAATCACTTGAGATGGTTGTGACAAAAAATCATTTGTATCTTGTTCCATGTACATAAATTATGCTAGGTATGTAATCTTGACTGCAGAAATTGAATATTTCATTTCATTCAAGGCTGTGTTTGGTTGGTAATGCCTCTGGCCTCCCTCCTGACATGGCGTCTATGGTCAACATTCCAGCCATCCACCACAGGGGCATTGGCTGGCAGCTGATCTGTTTCGTTCTTAGAAGATTGCAAAATGTCGTGTACCTTGCCGTTGGGTCCAGACGAGAACGTCTCCTTCTTCTTTCTTCGTTCATTTTCTATACAATGTTAGAAGTGAAAAGTATGTTTCAATAATTCAGCTTTAATTATTAAATTGATGTCTTTAACTAATCATATATATATATATATATATATATATATATATAGTAGTACGCTAATCCTGGTATTAACTAGTTGATTGTTCATGTCTATCCAGCAGATCGAACAGAACATGTGAAATTATTTAAAAAAATAATTTTAATTTGGTAACTTATACTATATAGAAAGTCTACAAAAATGTATTGAATTAAAGATAAAAAAAAATCTAATTTTATTATTTATTCTCTCTCATATTTTTCATAAATATTATAGTTAAAAAACATAATTTGTTATTTTTTATTTATTAATTTTTAAATAAAAACTTGCAATAATCTAAATAGAATATTTAATCCAAATTTTTTTTTAAATGTCTTAATATTTTTCATAAGATTGTATAGAAAAATAAAGCAACAATCAATATAAAAACTTGTTTAAAATTAACAAATGAATATTTTTTTCATTCTTATTTAATTGTGATGAGAATATTATTTTAAAAAAAATATGTAAATTTGATTTATATATATTTATTCACAAAATAATCAATATATTAATATTATTACAAAATGTTGTATTTGAATCATTGGATGGTTTTTATAAAATATTATTTTAATTGTTTTATCTCAAAGAAATTGATTTTAGATTATTAAAATAAAATTAATAATAAATGGTTGGTGTAATGTGTGTAGATGCATATTGTGTAGATGCATAGTTAATTTCTAATAAAAATCAATTATCTTAGTGTTTTTTATATGCATCATTGAATATACTCGATGCATTCGAGTGTGCGACATAAATTTGAAAAAAAATCAAAAATAAATAAATTATAAGGAATATATTAAAGTTAATATGTTGAAATAAAAAATACTTCAAAATTAATTTTCGATCAATTTTAATTATATTAAAAAGCAAATAAAACACGTGAATTCTATTTTTTAATTTTTTTTAAAAAGATTTGTGACAAATTATCTAAAATATAATTTTAGCTTTTTAAGACTCTCATTTAAAAACCATAAGAATCCACCATATATATATATATATAAAAAGATTAAATAATAAAGAAAAATAAATCATATTTATTAATAAAAATATCATTTTAAAAAATATAAAATTCACTTCATGAGAATTTCCATAAGAAATGACGAGATAAAAAAAAAATCAATCTTAAACAATAAGGGTAATATAATCCAATATATATGTTCATTAGAAAGGATAAGAATAATAATATTCTACAATTTTATTCAAAAATTCATATATAAAGAAAAATAAATCATATTTATTAACAAGAAAAATTATATAAAAAATAAAAAATAATTTTATGAGAATTTTTATAAGAAAAAAAATCAATTTTAAACAATAAGAATAATATAACTCGATATATATGTTTATTTTAAAATTTGAAAACATATCATATATATATTTCATCATCGTTATTACGTGTAAAAAATAAAAAAATAATGATTTATTTTCTATAATTTTTGCACTCAATTCAATAAAAAACATTAAAATTTTTTAGCAAAACACAAAAGCAGAAAAAAAAAAGCATTTCAATGCACATGCACACGTGTGCGCACACACGCATACACACACATATATCAAATTGAAAAATTCAATTTTTATTAGGTTTCGATCTATTTCTTTTACTCTTTTTATGGTTTAAAATCACAATAAACATATTTTTATCTCCAAAATAAATAATATAAATGTAAGATAGGCTGCAAAAGAGGTTAAAATTAGAACCAATTGTGAATTTCTCTCCCATCTTTCTATATTTGAAAACCAAATTGTTACATAAATAAACTTAAAAATCAAAATAAAATTTTTAAAAATATCAAAAACTAAAGTGAAATATCAGAAAAAATTCGGATTAAATGTCTCAATGTAGTCTTTAAATCATGAAAATATCACAATATTTTGTAAGTTTGTGAATAGTATAATAAATAGTCTCAATTTTTTAGTTTGTTTTAATTGATGTGGAGCACGAAACGGTCAGCGAAAGGAAAGAGCAAAATGACAAAAAAAGGGTTGATAAGTTACCGACAAAAGAGAACTAGGAGAGGACGAAAATGTAACTGAACAGAAGGAGAAAATGACAAAAAAGAAATTATATTAGAAAAAAAAGGGTGGAAAACAACTAATCTTGGCAAAAATAAAAAAATAAAAGAGGGTGCACATGCAACATGCCTATCCCCAAAAAGGCAACAACATGGATAGCGATCAAGGGTGGCAACATGGACCGCCAAGATGAAATGAAAAAAATAAATACAATGCAATTAATTGCTCATGGGTCTGTATCTACAGACTACAGTAAGTGAATAATAAAATAATTCAAGTCATGTATTCTCGCGACTCAATTCAATTCAAGGTTTAGCATTTGTGAGAACCTTTTGAATCACTACATTAGTTGACTCAAGTAATATAGTGATTCAAAGGGTTCTTAATAATATTTTTTTTCCTATAATTTGAACTTTAATGCAAATAATAGAATGCAAAGACGAATGCATGCTTATTTTACTTTAAATTATATATATATATATATATATATATATATATATATATATATTAATGAGAAAAATAAAACTGTTTTAAAATATTTAATAAATAACAAGTACAATAAAGATGTATAAAAGCAAAACAAATACTTTTGTTCGTGGTCAAGACCAAACTCAGTGTTGTTAAAATAGACGACAAACGTGGGACCTTGGAATTACATCTCTCTCCTTCTCACTCCACTTTCCAGCTTCCATCAGCGGAGCGGTAAGCTTAAACGACTTCCGATGAAATTGACAGAAACAAACAGTCAAAATTATCCAATCCAAATACTCCACTTTTAGTAATGCTTTTCTTTTCGCTGCCAATACTTCTAAAAAAGTAAAACGAAATGGCAAGTTGGTGCTGGCCTGGTCATACCAAACGTCTCTTTCTCCTTCTTCTTTAATTTGTTTGCTCTTTTATTAGTTACTCACTTTTTAACTAGCAGAAGCTTTCTTTGCCGACAACTCAACTCTACTCAGGTTAGGGTTTCTTTCTTTCAAGCATAGCCTTCTTCTTATTCTTCTTCTTTCTGCACTTGTGCTCGTCTGTCTGGCTACTCACTAAATTGAGCTTAATAACACTACTGATTTATATGCTTTACTCTTTCTAATGAACAACAACCATATTGCACTTTTTGAGCGATTACTCCTGCCTATATTGCAAGTAGTAACTTCTTTTTTCTTTTTTGGTGGATGATTTATTGACTGATTGCATTACATGGTCGTCATTGTACTAGTAATTGGCTTATTTTTCTTCATTTTCCCTTTTCTTTTCTCTAATTGCTTCTGTGTTTCTGTAACTGCTTCCTTCGATTGCGTAAGTTTTTTGTTACTGCTTTTCTTTATTTTTATTTTCTTTTTTTCTCGTGGATTTTAGGATTTGTAGGACATTTGTTTTCTATCTAGATTTGTTACTTGACCTTCCTTTTGTACTCTTTTACTATCATTTTATTTTTTTCTAGGCCGCCTGGATTTTAATTTAATGCTCGAGTTGAAAGAACATTTTCTGAATCATATCCATTTTTTAATCTTAATTTCCATTCGTAATCGTTCTGATATTATTTGTCGCTGAAGCTCGGCTGGTTTGCTGGATAATTTATGCAGAGCATTAGACAAGGAATTTGAAGCTGTTACCTATAAATCAATGACTTGGTGATCTCTTCATTACAAAGTTTGCTTTCCTGATATGGACCATTGCTTTCAACTTCCTAAGCTATTCCAAATTATAAACCGAAGATGGCTTCTTGTAGTTCTGGTAATGGCTGTAACTCACATACTGTTTCAGTTCCTATTGCTTCCTTATGGAAATGCTCTCCGGTCTCTGTTTCCAAATATCAATGAGCAAATGTATGATAAAAGCAGCTTCACAGTCATACAGTCTTCCAAAAAGTCTGTGATGGTTCGCTACCCTCTCACAGTTGATAAATCGAGCTTGTCTAGTTATTCCAGGTTTGATGGGGTGGAAGAAGATACTGATGATTCCAATGGTGGTCGAGAAGATGGTCACGATGGTGGATCGAAGAAAAATAGTGGAGACATGGATAATGGTTTTTCATCTGAGGAAGAAGACCTGGATGTCCTGGATGATGTCATTGAGCTTGAGGTGGATACAGATTTGGAAAATGACTTTTCATCTGAAGATGCTGTAGATACACATCAGACTTTTGCATCGGACAGCATCAAAACTGAAGAAAGTAACTCTGTCCTGAAATTGACAAACGAAACCAGGCTCAACCTTCCTCTTGAGAGGAATGTGAAATCGGACCATAATATTGACAATATTATGCAACAAAATATAAGTCGGGCACATAAAGAATATGGTCATGCAAGCTCTACTTTTAAGAGCCATCCTGTAGAATCTCAAGCAGTAACTTCATCCACAAATGTCTCCTATTTGAAATCAAAGGGAAATTCATCTGTTGGTTCTGCTGCCGTGAAAAGTGATTTTGCAGTGTCAAAAAATGTTTCTGCAATGATGGTCAAACCTGGGAAGAAAAAGATGAGGTGTGACATGCCACCAAAATCAGTAACGTCAATAGATGAAATGAACAGTATTTTACTGCGGCACCGTCGATCTTCACGTTCAATGGTATTCCACTAATTCTGTCTTATCCACTAGTTCTGTGAAATAACAGAACCTTTTATTAGTACTCTACTCAAAACATGAACTTTTAAACCTGAATATATTTTATTGCAGAGACCAAGATGGTCCTCTGCACGTGATAAGGAGATATTGGCTGCCAAGTCCCAGATTGAAAGTGCTCCAGCTGTGGTGAATGATCGAGATCTTTATGCTCCTCTATTTCGAAATGTTTCCAAGTTTAAAAGGTAAGTGCTAATAAACTCATGGACTACTAGATCAGTTAACTACTCTTACTGTCAACAACTCACCTCGCTTTCAATCCCTGATTTGCTATTATGTTTGATGAGAGATAAACACTGGTTTAGTCCAGAGCTATGACATAGAAAGCTAATTAGAAAATTGAAAGGAAAATATAAGGAAGAAGAAGAAATAGAAACATAAAAGGAGAAACTGTAGTACCAAAAAATATACAGTTGCCATTATAAGTCTGCAGTAAGAGACACATCACGCTGTGTATGTGGTTTATGACTTTGTTGGCCAAACTTGAATTAGATGGCATTCTCGATTTTCCTTCTTTTTTTTTCTCTATCGTATACGTATACAGTTGAATCTTATAAAGCTTGTACCATTCGTTAAAATTTTCTGAGATATTCCTGATATGCTTAAAAGCAATGGAGATGCCTGAATGTATGCTTTAGCCCTTGTCTTATTCCAAAGGATACATTCAGCCAAAATTTAATGATCAACCTTTTCAGACCCAAAAGGAAATGTAGTGTTCAAGCATAATTATGTCTCTCTGTTATGAATGTATCAAGTACAAACTTCATTGGAGTCATTTTGTTGGGGTTAGACTGTAATATGGGTTTCAGAACCACAAGTTATGGACAGTTGAATTGGGGAACTGTATAGTTTGGTCCCTAGCCTGGTATTGGATATTCGTACTTGTGTTTTATTTTTGAGACCATCCAATCTTGTATTCATTTCAAATTTTGATTGTAGTAAGGTTCTTTTGGTGACAAGTGCAATCATCGCGTGGGCTGTTTGTAGACATGTTTTGCAGTCCTGTAAAAATAAAAATACTCCTAGCAACAACCTAGTAGAGCAGATTACATTATCTAAAACTCGAACTTCCAAGCATAGATCAACTGAAATTTTTGAGCCATCTGTCTATTTCTCACGGTACCTTTATATTTGTTCTTTGACATCGATTAGCAGGATGATAATGAGATTACAATTGCTGGTTTACAATCAAAGTGTAATTACTTCTGCTTTCTTGCTTTTTCAGGAGTTACGAACTCATGGAACGCACCCTGAAGGTCTATATCTATAAGGATGGAAAAAAACCCATCTTTCATCTTCCAATATTGAAGGGACTGTATGCCTCGGAAGGATGGTTTATGAAACTGATGCAGGGAAATAAGCATTTTGTAGTGAAAGACCCCCGAAAAGCTCACCTGTTTTATATGCCATTCAGTTCGCGAATGCTAGAATACACCCTCTATGTACGTAACTCTCACAATAGGACAAACCTACGCCTATATATGAAAAAGTACGCTGAAAGCATTGCAGCTAAATATTCATACTGGAATAGAACAGGTGGAGCGGATCATTTTCTTGTTGCCTGCCATGATTGGGTATGTCTTCCTTGTGTCCCTCCTTGTCATGGCTTTCTTCAAATGCTTTTCTCCTTTCTTTCCTTTTTCTGAAAAGAACTTACTTTGAATGCTTTTGAAACATATTACTCTGTTAGGATGTTGTTGGTGATTTTAGAACCGGATGTAAGTTTGATGATCCCGACATAACAAATTCACCTTCACTGTCTCCCCTCTCACAAGGCCATTCACATAAACATCATTCTGTTAAGGATTTAAGATCGCCTTGGTCATTTCAACGAAATATGGGGGAGATGGGGCAATCTGGTCCCTTTAACTCTTGTTCACTCAAAATGACTCAAGCACCAATTTCTGAACTGGAAATGAATTAACTTCACTTTACAGGGTTCACCAACTCTCACTATATTAAATCAAGACAAAGTGATTGTTGATTGCTTATGTGGATTTGTGCATCTTTATTTCTTTCATTTTATGTTAACCATTTGTGAGTCTCATGATGCACAAAACTCTTGCAGGCTCCGTATGAAACAAGGCACCATATGGAGCATTGCATCAAAGCACTGTGCAATGCTGATGTCACTGCTGGCTTCAAAATAGGGAGGGATGTGTCTCTTCCTGAAACATACGTTAGATCTGCCAGAAATCCCCTCCGAGATCTTGGAGGAAAACCACCTTCTCAGAGAAACATTCTCGCCTTCTATGCTGGAAGCATGCATGGCTATCTGCGTCCAATCTTGTTGAATCATTGGAAAGACAAAGATCCTGACATGAAGATCTTCGGTCCTTTGCCACCAGGTGTCGCAAGCAAAATGAATTACATCCATCACATGAAGAGCAGCAAGTATTGTATCTGTCCCAGGGGTTACGAGGTCAACAGTCCTCGGGTGGTTGAAGCCATCTTTTATGAGTGTGTACCTGTAATTATATCTGATAACTTCGTGCCACCATTTTTTGACGTCTTGGATTGGGGAGCATTTTCATTAATTCTTGCAGAGAAAGACATACCCGACCTAAAAAAAATATTACTTTCAATTTCAAAGGAGAGGTATCTTCAAATGCAGCTTGGGGTCCGGAAAGCTCAGCGACATTTTATATGGCATCCTAGCCCAATGAAGTATGATCTCTTCTACATGACCCTTCATTCAATCTGGCATAATAGAGTTTATCAGATAAAACCTAGATAAGGGTGTCTGTCAATGATGAGCAAGCAAGAAGCACACATACCAGAGGTGGAAATGGAAATGGAAATCGTAGCATATGAAAGAGTGGTGAAGTTCATCGTGAAGCTGTTAGTAAAGAGATGATATTCCACCTTTGTTTTCCAGTCAAGAGGTAAAAAGGGCTGGTGTTTGAATTTCAGAAAGAACTTGTAAAGGTGCTTGTGTTGTATTATCTCAGCGATGACACTTTTCCGTACATATCTTGTTATACCATTTTCCACTTGTGGAAAGAACCTTCTCAAGAAGTTGGAGTTTTCGCACCAAACTCTTAATGTTTATCAATTTGACGGACAATTTTTTTTTTTTTAATTCACATATTTAAAGTTTTAAGTGAAACTAGTTCGTTAAGATTTGAATTCGTGATTTGTATTGCAAGAGATCGCATTAACTTGGCAACAAACTCTTTTGTGACAGGCAGTTTTTAGGATGGGCACATGCCAACAGAGTTCTCAAACTAGCAAGTTTTCTTTCAATAATCAGGGACAACAGACAAGCAATGATGTAAATTTGGCTTGTTTGAGCTCTTGACGGTGCTGAACTCCTGCTATCGGATCATCTTTTTCCCAACTAGCTAAACCAAAACCCGATGAAAATTGCTGACAAACCACTGCTTCAACCTTTATGCCCTCCACCCTAAGTCCAATAGGATGCTGGCTGCTCTCTCTCTCTCTCTCTCTGTATATATATCTTTAGGAACATGACGAAACATGTTCTAGGGATCGACACAGATTCAACAGAGTTCCCAAACTAGCAATACAAGATTTGTTTTCTTTGAATGGAAAGTGGAAATGGGATGATGCAAATTGACTGTTTCTTGCAGTTGCTGAATTCCTTTCCTTTTGCAACTGGATCGTTTTCTTTTCCAGGTACTCAATACAAACCCAACTACAGATCGCTGCTAAGCCAGTCCACTGCTTGAAACCTTTAGGCCCCCAGCCCCAAGAGGAAGTTGGGTGCTCTCTGAGTGTCTATTACTGCTTGAAGAAAAAGAAAAAAAAAGAGCTACGTGGGATTGGGTGCTGTTTCCACTTTCATGCCATGGAAATGGACCCAAGACGCCACGTGTCTCCTCCTATTCCCGAAAAAGGATAGGAAAGGAAAGAAAGGACAAAGAAATATACACTGAAACAGTGACCATCCCTTCCTTTAGCTTCCCTTGCTTGCAAGCAAGTTTTTAAATTTCGATTTCTTTCGCCTCGAAAATATGAAGTTTTGTTCCCATATTCACCAACACAATCAGACGTCACTGTATTTTTATTCTTTTTCTTGTAGATTTCTTTAAAAAAAAGTGGACCACACCAGAAGAGAGTGGTAGGAAAGAAAAGTGGATGGAATGGATAATGATCATCGGCTATTGCTCCATTCCCATTTCCATGACTTTCCTCTCTTTCGGTTGTTGCTTCCTCTCCTTCTTCTTCTTATTATTTTTTTAATCTATCCTTCTTCTTTCTTTCATTTCTCTTCTGCTTGCCCTTTTTCCTTCTCTATAAATATAAATATGAATGGATTTTCATTCTAAAGAGTCTTTTCATCATCATCTGTTTCTGGGTTGTGAAGGTTTGGGATCTTTCCTTCATTTTCGGGCCTCCATTTTCTTGTCTCATCTCTGTAAGTAGCTCGCTCGCTCGCTCTTCCTTCTGTTATATCTTCTGCTCTTTGTTTCATTCAATTCTTTAAATCAGTTTTGCTTTGTTTTACTCAATTCACGGCTGCTATTATTATTATTATTATTATCTGGGTTTTTGTTAAGCGACTAGTTGTTTTCTTTCCTGGCAAATGTAACTAGCTGTGCTGTATTATGCTCATTTAACTCCCATTTGCTCCTCTCAGGATTTGATTTCTTCCAGATTTCAAAAGGACCCTTTGATGATGTTTAAAATACTGATTCTTACAATGAAATCGTTGTTGGGACCATGACATCTGTGAAAGTTGATCAACATTTCTTTGCTGATCAACACAAATCCCATCTAACGAAGAATTTCAAAATTTTAGTGCAATTGTTTCGTGCACTAATAAAAAAATTTCACCCAAGGGCTGGTTTCCTTTCCCATCCTAACCATTTCTAGACTATTTTTTCCCTTGGAGGTCCATGTTGTGTACTTTGGAATGGACTGGAATACCGTTTTTATTCGCTAAATCATGTTGATGTTGTGTCATCTCAGGATAGGAGGATCTAATGGGTGATTTGTGTATATATGAAGAAACAACCGATATCCCTTCAAGCGTAAATACCGCATCTTATATAATGCTTAGTTAATGACTTTCATATTTTTCTTGAGGTGATTCTTGGTGTCTAAATCAACGTTATGTCTAACCATATGTTTGCCTTCTTTCTTTTTGTAATTCAAGTCGCACCAGTTTGATCATCCATCAAGTACATGTTGCCTACTAGAAAGGCATGGTTACCAAATAGAGCATGTGGTAAGATTGCTTTTCAAATTTGTGTGTATTTGAGTGTGCATGAAGTGTGAACGGGCATGCACTGTGTGCCTGTTGAAACTTGACATAATTTGTATTTGATAAAGATAAGGATGGGATGCTTGGAAGAACCAATGTGATGAAATGTCTCGTAATTATGTGGTTTGTGCAAAACCACTCTAGAGGTTTCTGCAAACTATAAGTGATGAAGGATTGTCATGAAATTGTGTTGTGAACTTTCATTGCGACCATCTATGCTGCAGGCAATTCAGGTTGATTTGAAAGCTCAGTTTTCTAGACCTGATATTGTCCTCTTATTAGGCACATTGTGATGATGTGAGTAAGACAAGTCTTTTTATTGATTCTGTTGGATCGCACTCATCATTGGATGACATTTTTACCAGCCTCTTAGCATTGACTACATATATAAGTCGTCAATTGGTTCATTTTATTGGTGAGTGCTACACCATCATAGAGGATGAACTAGTTCTTCTGGTTCACTTTCATTTTCTTGGAATATTATGGCTGCATTTGATACAGGGCTGTTTCTGCAGAGGATCCATATACCAAGATGTCAATGGATACTTGGAGAATTTTGTGGCCAGTTCTTCTGGACCACATTCAAGTTCTTCAAGCCACAACATCTATAGATGCAACATTGAAGGTTGTTCATTGTTTTCCAAGTATCATATTACTGATACGAGACCTGAAATTCACAGAAGAAGAGTGGCAGAAGTCAGGGACGAATTACTCGTAAATACAAGATGTGAAGTTAGAACTGGTTGCAGTCATCAAGGTGTTCCATTCATTATTCAAGGGTATAAATATTTTCCGTTAAGTTTCTCCATGGTTTGGTTACTGGAAAAAAAGGTTAGATTTGTCGAGGAAATAAACCAAAGCCAAGTTTGTTTGATCTGGTTTTCAATTTGAATGTATGACCTTATGTGTATATTCCCTTTTTTCTTTGAGCGGACCATAAATTTAGCCTTAAATGAACTGAATAATTGATTTTTTATTTAATCGATTCATCTTTCCTTTTTTGTCACATTGTTTTTCTTCTGTAGTTCGTTAAAACAGTTTCTTTATCTGAACTATCTGCATCATGCACGTGGTCATGTGGATAAAATGCACATGGTTTAAAAGTAAGTAAGATCCAAAAGTTGATAGTATAAATATACTATTGTTATTTGCAGCTATGTGATGGTTTGTTCCTTCAGTATCCTTTTCCTGTCATATTTGTATGGTAATATTCACTTTTCTGCTTAACTGATCAAATGTTTACTCTGAGAACGGTGCAGGTTGATGCTCCCAATTTTTGGTTTACGACTTGCCTGGAGGTTGGCATTGGTCTCCTGGAGATGCTCATTTTATTACTTCAGATGCGCTCAAGTTCAAGTTCATAGGTAAAAGAAGTTGGTTTTAACTTTGCAAACTCGTCAGTTTGTTTGCTGCAGAAGATTTTGTGAAAGTTTCTTTTAGGGTTTAGCTTCTATGCTGAAATTTTCGACTCCATCTGTATAAATTTTGCTTCCCTTCATTTTGTTCTTAAATGATTTTAGTCCTCATTTTGGCGTCTTCAGCATTATGTCTCGTGTGCATAAAACTTTGCGTGGTTCGTCTGATGATATTGGATGGCTACAGCATACACCTGGAATGGCTCCAGTGGAGGATGGTACAGTCAGATTCTTAGAGCTGCTTGAGAACATAAGGTAATGACCAATACAAATTTTATTTAATATCTCTTCTGATCAATGGAGATTGACCAACCGCTATATTTCAATGGTTTGGCAACTAAAAAAATGTGATGCCAGTATGTACAGGAGATAGAATATCTGGGACATACAGTAACTGCTGTTTTAATTGTTTCATTTGTGACTCATTAGTTAATGCAGTCTCTCTGAAATTTATTTCACACTGATATATGCTTGTTGTCATGGTTGTGCCTTGTCTCAAAGAATGAATTTGGGATTGCCCTGTGATGTTTGGGATCCTTTAGTGGTCAAACTATGATTTTTCATTTCACTGCATTCTCAACTTTTAAGTTACTGTTTTATCGTACGAATGTGTTCACTGGAGTGAAAACTACTCTTTATGTTCTTTCAGGAATTGGATTTTTACTATTCGATTGAAAATTTTATTGTTATATACTCTCACACATTGTTTTGCTTTATTCCTCAGGAATGGGGAGCACACCCTTCCAAACTCATTGGTTTATTTGTTAATACCAGGTTTAGAAAATCCACGTATCCTCATGTTTTTTTAATCTTGTTCACTTTAGTCAAAAATTGGAATTTATAAACCCAATAGTAATGCAAATTTTTACCTTTGACAGGCCTTTTTAGTAATCATGGTCCCTTGTATTTCGTGGGTACTAAGAGATTCTTTTCTAAGATGGGTCTAGCTTGCCACATTGCAAAAATTCACAGTGAGGTAATTGCTATTAACTGGTCCTTTATCTAGACTAAATTGATGAGGGAACCAGGAATTTGTCTGAAAGCAATCACATGAGGACGTTGTTTGTTCTTTTCTCCAATCTGTTTTTTTCCCCCACTCTATAGTAAAATTCTTTTTTCATACACTGTTATGCTATTATTTGTTTAACTGTGATATTATCATGTTATGAAGGCATCAGTGGAGCATAATGCATGGGAGCTGAAGCAATATATTGAGGAGCTTTATTGGGGTTCAGGCAAGCGTGTGATGCTGCTTGGGCACAGCAAGGGTGGGGTTGATGCTGCAGCTGCATTGTCAATCTACGCGTCTGACTTGAAAAACAAAGTTGCTGGACTGGCATTGGTGCAAAGCCCATATGCTGGAACCCCCATAGCTTCTGATATTCTTCGCGAAGGCCAGATTGCTGACAAAGAAACCCGGAGGATCATGGAACTTTTGATCTGCAAAATAATTAAGGTAGTCCTTGTCTCTGCCTAGATATCAATTCCTCAGTAAGTCTCTGCATCTGTGTTAAAAAAAAAAAAAAAAAGAGAGAGGAAACTTTGATTATGCTGATATATGTTTTCCATGCTTTATATTAATAGCTTTCCTTGTGGTTTTTGTTTTGGATTCTCATTTCCTTTGTGTCCTAACTACTGCCAGAGTCTATTGTTATGCTTCTACTCAGGATCACTGTTTATCTTTGAATTGTTTCCCTTTGTTACTTGTATTTTGTGTCTGTGAATGGGGGTGGGTGGGCCATGGCTAGGTGCTTTTGCGCTTCTCATGTTATTTTTGTATGCTTCTCCATCTCAATTTGGTGTAGATATGGTTGATTTCTTATATTATCGTTAAAAATCAAAGCATATACTTTAGGGTGACATACGAGCATTGGAGGATCTCACCTACGAGAAGCGGAGGGAATTCATCTCAAAGCACCAGCTCCCAATGGAAATCCCTCTTATCTCTTTCCATTCTGAAGCAAGCATCACTCCTGGTGTCCTTGCGACAATGACTCACATAGCACATGCAGAACTTCCTTGGCTTCTTCCCCTTCCAAAATTTGGGAGCGTGGAATCTGATGATGTTGCTCAAGGAGGACACCAGGTGCCGGTAGTGATTCCCGTGTCTGCCGCTATGGCTGTGTGCGCACTCCACTTGCAGCTTAGGTATGGAGAGAAGAGTGATGGGTTAGTGACATGGCGTGATGCTGAAGTTCCAGGTTCAGTTGTAGTCAGGCCAGATAGGAAGCTGGATCATGCATGGATGGTTTACTCTTCAAGAAAGAAGGATCCTAGTGAGCCTGATTCTTGTGAAATGTGTGAGGCTCTTTTGACGATGCTCGTGGAGCTTGGCCAGATTAAGCAAGAAAGTGATGTTAATTATGTGGACCGGTGTGCCTCTTAACAAGTCATTATTTTGGACCCACTTTCTAACAAAACCCTGAAGCTGGAGAAGCGATTCTTACGCCACATAAATGAAGTTGGTACGTTGGGACGTTTGCTCCGTGCTTATGTGTATTCAGAAATCTCAGAAGCTATTGAATGGGAGAAACTGCAAGTTACGATCTGCTCATTTGTGTCCTTAATTGCGAAGTTTCAAGCTTTTTGTGTGGCCGTGGCCCCCAACCAATAAACGGAACTTTTTATTTCATTTCATGGCCATATTATTGCAAGCAACAACACTGAATGATTGATTTAGCAAGGAAGGGTATAAATGGAAGAAACGGGCAAATCCCTTCATTTGGGATCGTACTTAATGACGCATTCTTTCACCATTGTAGCAAAGCAAAGCCTTAACAGCTAGGAATGGTAATTTGTCTCGCCTCGTCCCATTTTGAGGTGGGGATGATACTTAAAATTTTTGTTCGAACAAGAAACGGAACGGAACGAGAATAGGGTGAAATTTTTTGAGACGAGGCAGGGATAGGAATGGCTATTCTCGCTCTTGTCCTGTTATTTTACCTTTAGAAATGACAATTTGATAGGATTTTGCCTCATCCTTTTTTGTTTAGGATGGAGGTGGTACTTAAAATTTTATTTCGAACGAGGTACGGGATGAGGATAGGGAGAAATTTTTTTGGAGCGGGGCGGGGATGGAAATAGCTATCCTTCCACATTGTCATCCCTATAATTGCTAAGACTTCCATGTTCAGCTCTACTCACACCTGATTTGTTAAAACAAATAATCAAACTGTAAATTTTAAATCTTAGAAAGCCGAAGTTGTATTCAATACACAGAATAAATCTTTAAATTTGAACTTCGTTCAGTAAAATAACTTAGCCTTAGTTGATTTTGACGAGAATAAAAACCCTTACTACGACTTTAGCTTCATAATTGAAGAGTGACTCCAATTTTGATTGAGTTTGTTGATATTTAGAACATCACTACGATTTAAGCTAATAATTATCAATATTACAATTTACGCTAATAATAATCAATATTAACGCTTTTTACGCTAATAATAATTAATATTACCACATTGAAAAATTGACCAATTATACATAAAAGAACATGCAAATAATTGAGAAAAACTTTTCAGGAATTTTATTCAACAATTATAAAAAATTCCTCTCTCCTCGCTGAGCAAGGTTGCTTAAATACTATGTAAAAATCGGCTAGGTCTTAAGAAAAACTTATCCTATTGGATTATATAAATTTTAGCATAATCCTAATAGAAAACACAGATTCATTCAGACTACAATGAAGTTAGACGAAGAGGAAACCAGTAAATTAAATTGAAAGGATCACTGTGATAAAGCGGCATCCATCAATGTTTCCTTTTATTTGTATGGCACTTCCTGCTCCTTCAGAAGTTTCTGGTACTAAAATAATGGCAATGGGAACCAAGTTTTGCAAACCACTCTTTCAATTGCAATCAAGACTTTTTTTGGGTGGTACTGTTTCTGAGTTGATAACATCATGGGGCCAACAGTCATACTTGTGTTATAGCCCATCAAATGCCTCTCTCAGAAATCCAGCTATAATAAATTTTAGTAGGCCCAAGGTGATCCCAGCCCATTCACTTAATGCCCTTAAATTTCCAATGGCCAACCACGCAGATATCAAAATCAAATCATTCAATGAACAGATACATGCTTGGCACGGCAGCTCAAGAAAGGCAGATAGAAGGCAATTAAAGAACAAATTCTAAAATCTGTTAAAAATATAATATAGTAGCTTTTATAAAATTAAGGTTTTTGGGGGTCCAGCAAAGGACAGTGGTCCTCCCTATTCAAATGAAACAAAATTAAAATAAAATGGTTCAACTATCCATGGACCATAGCCCACGCAAATTAAACTTCATGCCACCCAAAGCAATAGAAATCAAGAATTATGTGATATTTTATATATGTTCGATTTTTTCTCAAAATTAATTAAGTAATTTAGCTAACATTACTATGTGTTAATTTATATTTTTTTATGGGTTCAAAGTTATATAATTAATAGATCGGATCGAGGATTGTACTCATTTAGCGTAAGATTTTAAATCATGTAAAGATAAACACGAGAATTCTAGTAAGTCGGTATCCATGTCTTGTTTTTAAAATATATTAGGAAGATTGGATTAGTGGACTGAAAACAGAAACGGTTAAATAAAAACTTAATTATTGCTTTATTTAATATTTACTAGCAAGTTAAAGTAGTTTAACCTAAAAGAATCTATTTGTTTTTTTAACTCAAATTCGATTGTCCAAATATGAATGACATGATATGATTTAGCGAGTTAAAAGTCATTTTATTTTTGTATAGATACCAACCTCACGAGCAATTGTGTGGGTAGCACGGTCTTCGAGCCGTGATTGACAACCTAAGATTTTTATTCCATGACAAGCTCAACAAGAGAGGTTGTTTTTAACAATGAGGCCGATGTGTAAGAAAATATCTTAATGCAATACTAGAATCCCACCATGGTCAAGTGTATATTATTGCTCATAATCCGAGTTGAGTTGAGAGAAATATTTTTTAGCATGTAAGTCTTCTATGTTGCTTCGGTCACATCATACCCTAAGTGAAAAAAGGTTGATGACTTTGATGCCTCGATTGCTCGGTCTCTATTAAAAACTCCAAAATTTTGAAATTTTATCAATCTTCTAGGCTTTGATGAGAAAGCCAACAAAACAACTACGAAAACCATTGTCCACATATCCGAAAAATAGTAATAACAAGTGTTTTGTTGTCAATAATCTAATGGAAAATATGGCAAAGAGACATGAGAATGGTGTCCTATTCACTAATGATGCTTAATATGTGAAAGATCAATCATAACCATCCACTCGTTATAGAGAGTAAGGTGAATGATTGTCATATTCGCAAGATCATCATCGATAGTGGTTTCTCATTAGATCTCATGTCATTTACCACCTTGAGAGATTTATACATTGATAAGAGATTTGAGAAGTAGACATTCAATACTCTTAAGAATTTTGACAAAACTTCTTTTGAATTCGAGGCCGTATTATGGTGAATTTTCAAATGGGATCTATTCTATATCATTTATGCATATGTGTCCTATCGCTTACTAATTAGGTAGCTTTTTCTTTATGAGTATGATTTGATCCTTTTCTCAAAGCATTAGTGCATGGAAGTATATTGAGGAGGAATGAACATTTTCATTCCAAGCATTAAGGCACCTTTTGAGAACCACGAGTCTCATTTTGTTGAGGCATTTTTTTTTTTTTTAAATGAGTACACAAGCTGATGGACGAGCTTAGGATTGACAACCCAATAAAATTTTATTAAGCTAGTGGCTATCGAACTAACCCCAAGAACAAGAGAACTCGTAGGGTGGTAAGATTTAAAAAAAAAAGAAATGACTACGATAACAAATATGTTTGGTAGCTAAATTCATAGACTGTCTGCTATCACTATACTCATCAATTTTCAATAATTGAACCAATATCATATGTAATGAGCTTGCTCTCAAATTTTGTAATTATCGAGTGTTTTATGCTAATCAAATGAATAAGTTCTATGAAATTTTGTTTTCTGCTATATTTATGTCTTCTCATGCCTTAAAAAAATTTCTTTAAACTTGGCTCATTAAAAAATGGATACAAAGGCACACGAGTCTCGTACTCTTAAAATTTATTAAAAGACACACGGCTATCATTAAAAAAAAAAAATTTTTTTTGCTAGGTCACTTGATCGAGTGACATGTGCATTAGCCAATCTATGAGCATTTCTTGCTCATTTATTCTTTTTTATGGCAACTCTATATCCATTTAGCCAAGCTATGCACTAGTCAAGTTATGAGCTTTTTATACTCGATATTTTTTTTTCTTTTTGGGATTGAAAAAGTTAGAGTGTGAGGGAAGGAAAAGGAAAAGAGAAAGTGAAAGGGAATGAGGAGTTGCTTCTGTTTGTTAACCAAATAACTAACTGAATGATTTGATTTGATGAGATAGACGCAGTGTTGTTGATGTTGCTATTGTAATGGCATGCGATTATTGCGAATGACAGGAGAGGATTTTGATTGCTATTAGATGAGAGAGGGAATTGCAATTTCAATATAATTGATGATGAATCCAGTTTATGAAGTAGTGGAGAGAAGGTTTTGAGACAAAGTTGATTTTTGTATACTAAAATGATTAGGGCTCACATTGTCACGTGTCGTTGTCCGATTGGCTACTCGTTAGTTTTAACTTACCATGTAGGATGAATAGTTAACATCATTATAATGGAGGGTCTTAATCAATAAATTTGTAAGAGCGAGATGATTTCAATCAAACTTAAAAATAATAGAGGGTCTCAATAAAAAAAATTAGAATTGTACAGGTATCATTTCTATAGAAGAACAAGGATATTAGTTAAAGAAAGGAGATCTAACCGACAAAGTCGGAGTGCAAAAGAAGGAAAAGGAAAAGAGAAAGGAAAAGGGAAGAAGGACTTGCTTCATTTATTAACCAAATAACTAACTGAATGATTTAATTTGATGAGATAGATGCAACACTCGTTGACATTGCTACAACAACGGCACACAATTATTGCGAGTGAGAGGAGAGAAAAAGGAGAGGATTCGATTGCTATTAGATAAAAAGAGAGGGAGTTGCAATTTCAATATAATTGATGATGAATCCAGTTTATGAAGTGGTGAAGAGAACGTTTTAAGAAAAAGTTAATTTTTGGATGCCAAAACAATTAAGGCTCACATTGCCATATGTCGTTATCCGATTGGCTACTCGTTAGTTTTAACTTACCACGTAGGATGAATAGTTAACATTGTTATAATGGAGGGTATCAATCAACAAATTTGTAAGAGTATATGATTTCAATCAAGCTAAAAAATAATAGAGGGTCTCAATAAAAAAAAAAAAGAATTATACGGGGATCATTTCTATAGAAGAACAAAGACATTAGTTAAGGAGAGGAGATCTAAATGACAGAGTCGAGTGTGAAGAAAGGAAAAGGAAAAGAGAAAGGGAAAAGGGAATTAGGAGTTGCTCCGTTTGTTAACCGAATAACTAACTAAATGATTTGATTGATGAGATAGATGTAGTCGTCGTTGACGTTGCTTGTCGTACTTGGTACATAATTTTACGGATGAGAGAAAAGGAAAGGAGAGGATTCGATTGCTAATGATAGAGAGAGAGGGAATTGCAATTTCAATATAATTGATGATGAATCCGAGTTTATAAAGTGGTGAAGTGAAGGTTTTGAGACGAAGTTGATTTTTGGATGCTAAAATGATTAGGGTTCACATTACCATGTGTCGTTATCTAATTAGCTACTATTAGTTTTAACTTGCCATGTAGGATGAATAGTTAACGTTGTTATAATAGAGGGTCTCAATCAACAAATTTGTAAGAGTAAATGATTTTCATCAAGTTGAAAAATAATAGAGGGTCTCAATCAACAAATTTGTAAGAGTAAATGATTTTCATCAAGTTGAAAAATAATAGAGGATCTCAATAAAACAAATTAAAATTGTATCGGGATCATTTCTATAGAAGAACAAGGATATTAGTTAGGGAGAGGAGATCCGACTAACGAGTCGGAGTGTAAGTGAAGGAAAAGGAAAAGAGAAAGGGAAATGGATGGAGGAGTTGCTCGGTTTATTAACCAAATAACTAACCGAATGATTTGATTTGATGAGATAAACGTAGCATTGTTGAAGTTGCTACCGCACCGGCATGCAATTATTGCGGATGAGAGGAGAGGAGAGGATTTTGATTGCTATTAGATATAGAGTGAGGGAATTGCAATTTCAATATAATTGATGATGAATCCAATTTATGAAGTGGTGGAGATAAGGTTTTGAGACGAAATTGATTTTTGTATACTAAAACGATTAGGGCTCACATTGCCACATATCATTGTCCGATTGGCTATCGTTAGTTTTAACTTGGCACATAGGATGAATAGTTAACATCATTATGATAGAGGGTCTCAATCAATAAATTTGTAAGAATAGATGCTTTCCATGAAGCTGAAAAATAATAGAGGGTCTCAATAAAAAAAATAGAATTATACATGGATTAATTATATGGTAAACCCTATTGAAAACCGTATCTTGTTTTATGATCATTGAATAATTTTGATTGGGTTTGCAATTCGTTCTAACATCCAGGATAATAAAAAAGATTATTGATATAAAACTTCATGTATACACGTTTAAGTGATGAAATAAAAAGAAAGAATGATCAATTTAATGAGTTACGGAAAAAGAAAATCCAAACTAATTCAAAGAAAAAAAAAACAACTGTTTGGAATTAGTGCTGCAATTAGGCTGGTACGTAGGTGGGATTAAAATTTGCTTTTTTTTTTTCCTTTCTTGTTTAGCCAAAAAAATTGCCACTTCAGTTTTCAGTAAAACTTCACATGGGTTTTTTTTTTTTTCTTAAGAAATCATGGATCAATGGTGTTAAGTTCTGGTCTTCGTATTAAAAAAAAAAAAAAAAAAAACTGTAAGATGAGAATAATTTTCCCTATGCCCAGTAAATCTAGAAGAGTAAAATTATATTATCATGTCATTGAACCATGATGGAAACTTGAACTTTAGCTGTTCTCTTGTCGGGTCCAAAATAATAAATCCTTTGTGAAGGCATGGTAGCTCTGTCAACCCTAATTCTCAATCTCCAAACACAACTCACAATGTTATATATAAATCCAAGGAAAGCCGGTGTAAGTTTTTCAAATGCATTTTGAGTTTTAATCAAAGTCGGGCAAATTATTCATCGGACAAGCATAAAGTATTGTTCCGTTGAAGAAAGAGGCTTCAACAAGATCAGCAGCAGTATTAATTTTTGGTTTTTACTCAAAATCTCAATCTCACATTGAAGGCAGGAGGAGTGACAGAATTTAAATGTTTCACATGGGCAAAAAAAATTATCTAAAATTAGCTCTCGTACCACTAAAGAAATAATTCGTTAGTAGAGCAGCAGCCGTATTAATCAGGACATTGTATAATGAGCATAAATACATACATAGGCGGGAATAAAAGGAAAGTTCCACCGTACAGAAACGGCTATGCCATTGCCAGCTGTGACCTGCGATCCCCCCTCCGCCTCCTTACCTCCACGTAGACTCTCTTAATTTTTACCCCACTCCTCTCCACTCACACTCATAAATTAAAATTGAATTCCAAGAGTTCATATTGGCCCTCCAAATTCTATTATTATTTATATATAGAAAAGAAAAAGAAAAAGAAAAAAAAACAGGAGTTATAATAATAATGTCAATGGTGGAATGTAATAAAAAAACCCGGAAACACAATCAGAATGATGATGAGTAAAGTCCATCAGAAATACGGTATCATACAGGTGGACGAGACAATTGATTAATAATGGCTACAACGCTACCATCAGTACATCACTCACATACTTAACGATTTGATTTGTTAGAGAATTAGCATCAACCTATACATGTAGTCTTATAGTATCAATTAAAACAGTATTGATTTTGTGTTCTAGCTAGTTGATCAATTTAATAACAATCGATTTTCTGTCGCCTAAACTGGGCCGGATGGATGTTCAATAAAAAGTTAAAAAAAAAAAAAAAACCACTTTGTGCTTTAGGACAGGACATTAAATAGTTTACCTAAAATAAAAAAAATGTCACAAAAGGGTACGTTGGCCCTCCATTTCCTTATAGCCTCCACGTTTCCCCTTCCTTGCTAGTTTTGACCCTCGCTCCTTTTCATCCCTCTCCTTCATCTTTGCTTCGAGCTTTCTACTCTTCCAAATCCTCCAAATCTTGCTCTTTCTTTTTCCTCTTTTTCTCCCTAATCCCTATATATACCCTCCAAAATAAACACATCTTTCTTTGTGCATTTCCTTCTCCATAACAAAATCATTCCCACTTGGGTGATTATTCTAAACTAAAACAAACCAGTAGCTCTTGATCGCCAAAAACATGACTGACCCGCCAACTTCAAACTCCAACTCCGAGACAGACTCCTCAAGCATTTACACCTACTCCTACTCGCCAACCTCATCTTCCCCATCTTCGTCTGGGTTATCACCAAACCCGGTATCTAAACCCGACCCGGAAGAAAATCCGAGGAAACAGAAGAGGCCAAGGGACAGCAGCAACAACAGCAAGCACCCGGTATTTAGGGGGGTACGAATGCGGTCATGGGGGAAATGGGTATCGGAGATCCGGGAACCAAGAAAGAAGAATCGGATCTGGCTAGGCACTTTCTCCACCCCAGAAATGGCAGCACGTGCCCATGACGTTGCAGCCTTGAGCATTAAAGGCAACGCAGCCATCCTCAACTTCCCCGAACTAGCCGAGTCCCTGCCCCGGCCCGCTTCTAACTCTCCACGTGACGTCCAAGCTGCCGCCGCTAAAGCCGCTTCCATGGACTTTAACATTGTCACAACAGCTTCTACCAATGTCTGCGAAGACGAAAACAACAGTAATAATAACAGTAGGGCCAGTGATAATAATGTGTCGTCGTCCTCACTAATGACGCAGTCCTCCTCCTCCTCTTCTTCATCTTCAACAGCAGAGGTGACGTCGTCTCCAAGTGAGATGGCGACCCCTGAAGAACTGAGTGAGATAGTTGAGTTGCCAAGTTTGGAAACGAGTTTCAATGAATCTTCTGAGTTTGTTCTGCTTGGTGACTCGTGGCCGTCCGTTAATCAATCCTGGTGTTATGAAGATTATGGTTATTTTAGTGATCAGTACTTGTCAATAATTCCAGAGAATAATGTGATTACTAGTGGTTTTGAGACATTATTGTGGGAACATTAATTAGTTTAGTAATGAAACTACCCCTGTTTTTTGTGTTGGGTTTTTTCTTTGGGAGAGTTTGATATATTGTGATGAAAGCCCTTTCGCAATCTTTTTTTTTTTCTCATTTCCAGGGTTAAAAATACTTTTTATTAGCTAATCTAAGCTGTGTTGCAGTTCTAGTTTTTGTTCTTCCAGTATTAACTAACTATGTCTTGATTCAAAATACAAAACTATTGATTCTGTTTATGTAACTGATCAGATTTCTGTGGGTCAGGTGATAAAATGGTTAAATTTCCTCCCTTCCACTCTGAAATTTGCAGGAAGCTGCTTAGAGTGGTCAAACTTGTTGCTTTTATTAGTTAACACTGAAACCAAATAAGTATTAAAGTCTCTTTCTCTGTTTTGGTGCCTTACTTTTTAAAACTATTATGAATTTGGTAAATTTAGGGGTTTTCAAGCATTAACCGTTGCTAATTAATAAATAAATAATGCATAGAAGTAGATAACTAATTAATGAGTTGAGATTATTGAGCGTTTCCTTTTTCTTTACGGCTACACTGTTTTGCCGTCTTGCTTGTTAACGTGGAAAACTTAGTTTCGTTCTGCTTGAAAACTAGCTAGTTTGTTTCTTCTCGTTACTGTATGGAGAAATTATTCTAAATATGACGACTTGTATTCCTCTTTCTACTATAAATATGAGAATTATCGTAAAAATTAATTATGATTATCATCTTTATGCTAAAAACAGATATTCAACAACCCTTTGGAATAATTTTATTTATTTATTTATTTATTTTAATTGAGAAGTACAATTGTCGGTAATTATATATATATACTTGGGACAATATTGGCACGATAGTTTTTCCAATTTGGCCATGGTATGACTGTATTATTGGTACTTGAGGTGACAAGTTATAGTCTGGCTTTAAAAATAAAAATTTCTACACATGCTTCTCCCAAGAGAGAAAAAAGAAAATAAAATTGTCTGATTATCTATCCTGTTATTTGTTAGATGTGTTTATTCCACTGACAATTGAGTCCCAACCACCATATTCGAATGGGGCATGGTGTCCTTATTACACAGATTATTTATGCCTATAATTCTGGTTGTCCATGTTTTATTGTATTCAATATTCATTTATTAATTTATCCATTCAAGATAGATAGATATATATACTTTAATGAGAAATTATGAATTTCAGTTTTAAATCAAGATAGAAAAATTAAATATATATAGAATGGGGAATTGTCTATAACAATAGAACTTTAAGAGGGTGGTTAGGATTTTTATTTAATTTTAATTGGTCTCCTCCTCATGGCATTACGGTTTTCGTTAGTCACTGTTTGGTAGGTCTCCATTTATTCCCTTAATTAACACCGTGTATGATCATGAAGGCTTGCATTGCAGACGCTACCTACGGTAATTAAAAGATATCAACGAAATTAAACTTGCTAATAGAGCTATTAATGAGTGGAATTTCTATCTTTTTACATTTAATTGCATATTCATAACTATAAAATCAATTAACTAATAATGTATCCAAAATCATGTGTGGATAAATTTAATTAATGATATATAAAAGTTGTATTGATTTGGTCTATTATATCTATCTTAAGCGAGTGATGGACCAAATCCATCTAATAATTTATCTTCATTCAATACATAACCAACCGTGAATTATTGAACTAATAACACCATTTTTATACCATTTTTCACACGAACAAATTTGCCGCAATAAAAAACTTTTATCTTTATTTCAATCCACCATGACATCATATTTGTTGAGCCATTTCTGGTGACCTAGTTGACTGTTGACCCATTAATTTCTGGAAAGCTTACGTATGTTTTAGGCAACAAGCTAGTATATAGTAAAAACATGCATATATAGTTTAATTAGTTAATAAGATGTAATTCAACTGATATTAATGTCCCTTTTTCTAAATGGTTTATTTTTCGAATTCAAGCCTCTTTTATGTTTTAAAAAATAAAATAAAATAACAAGGTATAAATAATTAATTGTCAGTGACTCCTGTATACATCTGTTTATCTGAAAAAACAAAATTACCAATTAAAGTTGTCAGTGTCAAATTGTTTCAATATTAGTAGTAATGAAATTGTAAATGAGTCGGCATGTCTATTTAGTTCATAGAGAAAATTAAAAAGAAAAGGAGAGACTGAGAACAAAAATTACCCACGTTGAATTCTCTCTTACTTCATCTCTTGTTTTGTAATCCCTTTTCTCAGAATGAATCAGCAGTATAAAACTCCATAGATATTCTTGTATTTATTCACATAATTAAAGCATCCCTACTTGCTCAAAATCTAGCTCCCAAATAATATTGATGCGGTGGATATTGTTTTTGTTTCTTTCTCACTTCTAACCCCAAGATTATAAGGAAACAAACCTAGGATTTGGGAGACCCTAATGCGATAGAACAAGCACGAAATCCTAAACCTAACTTTAGGATTGCAATCTTGCCTTTTTTACTATGCACCGGCACTTTCAAACAAAATACATATATTATAAAATACTAGAAACGCCTTTTTGTGTACAGAAGTGGAAGTCAAAACATGGTGACCCATTTCATAGCTGTAAGGATGTGAGAGCGAAGAAAACTTGGGTCCCCATCTTGTATGCTCACCTCATTTCTCTTCTTATTTAGATTCTTTAATATATTTCTCATAAAAAATAAAAAATAAATATATTCTATTTTATGTGGTTGGAAATTGGGATGCCTTAAATCAAGCAATAAAAAATATTTTTATTTTGGGATTAAAAGTCGCAAGTAAGACACAAAGAAAAGGTCTCTAATAGAGCAATTGGTAACTAATTAAAATACAATATTATTTGCTGGTAATCAGTCACACGTGCACCTTTTAATTGGAAAGTTGACCCTTAATTGTAAATAGAATTTACTCGAAAATCACAACTTAATTAAGCATTTGGCATTTGTCTATACCCATGTCTTCCACATTCTCCAAATACTAATATCTTGGTTGTTAGTCTGCCAACTTCAAATGTAGTATATGGTAAATGAAGGGGTTATTACTTAATTACTGACAGTTTCAGAGGCTGAAGTGGCTAGGGTTCTCTTTGACCACTAATTGATGATTTTTCCTTTCTTAATCTCGCAATCAAAAATACTAATTACAGCTACGTACACTACTACTATGTAATTAAAATTATTTTATTACTAAATATTATTATTTCCTTCTCAAATCGTACTCTATGACCATGGATGCAGGATCATCAAGTGAGTATTTTATAATAATCCTCGGTTTGGACACTAACCAAGATGCAAACTCAACAGAAGAAATTTTATTTTATCTTATTTTAGAAGCAACTAATAATATTTACTCTAATATTTACTCTATTAAAAACGAGAAAAAAAAATTAAGATACAGAGTTAAAAAAAAAAAAGAAAAAAAAACCTAACATAAAAATATTTTTATCACTTTAAATAGATTCAAATATAATTTTTTTTATTTTTTAATATTTTAAAAATTTTCAATTGAATAGAATATTAAGTTAGCGCTGGTTTATTTTCAAGATCCAAATCAAAATATCAACTGATCATTCCTTTATTATGATTTAATATTTGATCACTAATAGTTAATATTTTAAAGCTGTTTATCGGGATTCACATTCAACACACAGGTTTCGCAAGGATGCGTGATCAATTAATGGGATTCCATGGCACATGCAGCTCTATGATCTTAGCACACTCTCCCATCAAGTCACAGGAGATTGCTTTAGTAATAATTAATTTTTTTTTTAGCCAATAAACTACGACAAATATCATTAATATGATAGCTTAGGAAAAATTTAAACCATTGGATTGTTGTCATAGGATTCATGATTACATATATATTAGCAACAAGACTGGACTTCAATCAGTAGCTAGGTCGGCACGTACCTAAGAAATGATACAGGGAAAGGGAACAAACTGCTACATTTAACCTAAACAAATTTGCTTTCATGATAACACGGCATCTATCCAATAATGCAGAGGTGGAGTCCTTTCGTATAAGAACAGAATATATATTAGTGGGATCATAGTATCAAGAAATGGTCAAAATTTTTATTTTCTGATCAATTATAAAGGAGACCGATTGGTGCGAACATTTTGTCCGAAAGGGCATGTAGCTAAGAGAATCAAAGAAAGCCCTTTCTAAAGATATAGTGTCAAGGCCACTGGGGTCTGAAGTACAGTCATATCCCAACAAACTTTGATCTGAAAGCTGTATATCAAAACAACTAACCATATAAATGAAGGGCGATAGGATCATCAAGAAATAAGTGTGTTTATATTTTTGTATTTTCTTTTCCGACCGAGTTTGTAACAATATGTGGATTAACTCCGACTTGAACTTTTATAGAAGATGGCTTGGAAATTTATGAGTGGGATCATATATATATATATATTATTATCATGCTAACTAAAAGCATGGTGTGACTTGCTACGAAATTGCAATATCCTAAATTTTATTAGCAAAATATATATAACGACAGTATGGAACTTTTACTTTCCATCTTTCCCGTCAGCATTAGCTTGTTAATCGTCTGTGTTATCTATGAGTTAGATTAAATAAAATTATTTTAATTAGATAGTCTATATTATATTACGGTTTCACTAAAATATTTGAATCAAAAATTAAAAAAAAAAATTAAATTTCATATTTTTAATCAAATCTTGTATTTAAATAATTATTCCTTATGTTTTTATAAACTTTTTTTTTTAAAAAAAAGATTGGTTTTTCTTTATGTGTTAATTTTTTTAATAAAAACTTGTAATAATTCAAAATTAAAAATTTAATCCAAAATTTTAAAAAATATTTTGAAATAAAAAGAGCTACAATTAATTTATGAACTTATATAAAAATCAAAACATGAAAAAATAATTTTTTTATTCTTATTTAATATTGACGAGAAGTTTTTTTATAAAAAAATAAAATAAACAATTGATATATATATATAATCAATAAGATTAGAATAAAAAACTATATTTGAATCATTTTATGTTTCTTCAAAAAAATTATTTATAATAAAATGAATACAAGTACAGAGAGAGATGTGATATTAGAAAGTCGAGTGGTTGGCATGTCTAGTGATTTGCTAGATATTAGAAAGTTGGAGTCTTCCTCTTAATAATACTTAGTATTTATAATGAATTAAAAAAATGACTATTAATCATTAAAATTCCGATCATGTTATTTATATTTAGACGATCAGATTTATATTAGATAAAATTTATATTTTTTTTGATTAAATTACTTCATCTTACTAGTACAAGCTAAAAAAAATAATAATTGAATTTTTTTTAATCGTACTCTACTCCAAATCTGTCAAACCAATCTTCATCTTCATTCAATACATTATTTTTTTTTCATCATTAAACTAAAAGCGAATTACTAATACTTCAATATCTTGTAGGAAAATTACAATACCAGGATGCAACAAAAACATGGTGCGGACGTGTCCACATATCCGTTCGAGGATTTCCAAGTTTGGCTTGAAACTACTGTGCTGCAGCTTCTGAAGGGGAGCCGGTAGGAATCTAGAGTATGGTTTGCCAATGGCATCCCGTCCAGCAATGAAGAGCGGACATATTCCAAACACATTAGGTACGTTTCCATATGTATTTATTAGGGCGCAAATTGATGAAATTGTGGATTAAGATTCAAAGAACTTGTGGATGCAAGGGTCGATCAAAGATTAGTTGCCCTTCAACTGCATGCTAAATGAAGAAATGTTGGCTCAAATCACAACGACGTCAGAACAACAAAGGACATTATGGTAACTTTGTTAGATTTATATGCATGCATGTATGATATAATTCTGAATTCTAAAAGCATTTTATGTATGATGTTATGTAGTATCTAATTAGGATTTGAGACATTTTTTTTCAATTTTTTCGTATGTGTATTGGATTCGTTTAATGTTATTTGATGGATTGGTTTAAGTTGAATGCATGTGATCTGAATTTCGATTTCAGTTTGGATTTGTTTAGTGTTATTATTTGATGACCTGTTTAAATTTAATGTGTTCTTGTTGTTGTGCTCTTTTTTTTTTTTTTTCCTTTGATATTTAAAAAAAATTCCAATGGTTTACCGACGAAAAAACATTATACATATATATTTCACATTGACCATTCTATTGGAAATATTTTGCTAATGAAACCATCCATGGAAATTTTTAGCAAAAAAAAAAAAAAAAAAAAAAAAAATATATATATATATATATATATATATATATATATATATATATATATATATATATATAATTACCGAGATGCATTTTTTGATGGAATTATTTTATCGGAATATTTTATAACGAGTTTTCTAAGAGCATTTGTTATCCGAATCCTATTCTTTTCTTATTATTTTTTACATTGAATATTTATGAATGCATTTAAGAAAATGAACAATATACTATTTCCATTTTGAGAATCGTATTTTAGTTTTCTTTAAATATTTTTTTTTCATATAATCCCAAATTTCGTTTTTTCTTTTAATTCAATGATCTTGAATTAATTTTATCTCATGCATTCATGTTCTTTTCCACCAACATTAACGTAGAGCATTTCGGAGTTTTTTTTTTCTTTTTTTTTTCCTTAGTAAGGTAGTTTTAAAACTTTATTTTCAAAATATGATCATTTTAATCTTATTTCTCAAAATAAGGTATTTATGATACATAGGATGTACATGTGATCCATTTTTTGTTAAGTACATGTTGTTATTTCAAGAGCATTGGTCAAAGATTGAGTTATGCAACGAGTTAAGAGCACATGTTTTCTTCATTGTTATACACTTTGGTGACTTTAATACTGTAAATGCTACGCTTGAGAGAGACTCATCTCTCGCTCCATCAAACCACTCGAAAACCATCACCATCACCACCCACCTACCTGTCTCTACCACAAACCAACCAATGGCCACTACTACGTGATTAATGGTACATAAAAATATTTGAAACTAGTTAAAGAAAAACTTCATATTGCAAGCTGCTTTCAAGATTTTTTGTCAAACACATTATAAGCACACTTGTTTTTGTAAGTTATAAAGAAACAAGAGCTGACCCATTATGATTCATAATGATCCAAATTCTTCTTTCATTTTAACTAGTTTTTTATTTATTATTATTATATGGTGGTTGTAATTGTTGACAATCCTAACAAGAAATGATAGTTAAAACTGAATTTAAGAAGTAAACAACTAAAACATTGATGAAGGATAAATTCAAGCTTCTATTTTTACATAATTGAAACCAAGTTCAATGTTGATGCAAGAAACTAGTAGCTTGAGAGAATGAAAGAGAATTCTCTCATGGTGTTGCTCTGTTAAATAATAATCAACTAGAGTGGTGGTAGAGGTAGCTTGAGATAGGTCATGATACCCTAGCAGACTTCTCTTTTACCTTCTCTTTTAATCCCTTATTCTTTCTTCTCCCATTATGGTCATCATCTTCAAAAGAGTTAGAGTTGCAAGTGATTATAGATCAATTGGGTTTTCTCATAAGGCAAACATGACAGACTTTATTATGAGAAAATAAAAGGTCGACATATGTTGGAGAAAAAAAATGTGGATATGTCTATCTTATGTGGCATAAGTATTCTATTTTTATAAATAAGATTGTAACTATCATATTTTGGAAATAAAGTTTCAAAACTATCCTAGTAAGGAAAAAAACTCGAGCATTTCGACTTGTTATGCTATCCGAATCTCACTTTCAAATTTTGAACAATATTTAAAAGATTTTTTTCTTTTCTTAAAGATATATCCTAAATATTTATTAATAAAAAAAATCTTTATCTACTTACTTATTATATATGTATATGTATTACATTCATCTAGTTCTAGTTGTTTGTATTTATTTGATTGGATTGATATTAAGATTTACCTTAAAAATTCATTAGTAGCCGTATTTTTTAGTGTAGAAAACAAAAAAGTATTTGTTTCATTTCTTTGCCAAAAATATCATATAAATAATAAAGGCTAAATGAGTCAAATTTCTCCTAAATTTTAATTGATATGAAATTCTAAACTTTAAATTTGTTGAGATTTAGTCAATCTAATAATTTTTACCCATCATCCTCTTAAAAGAAAAATTCAATTCTTAATATTTTGAATTAAAGTTTTGCACACAAGTTGCATAAAATCTAATTTATTTTTTAAAAAATCTCAAAAATTTTCAAAATCAAAAGATATATTTGTTTTTTTTTTTTTTTGAACTTTAAAAATATAGAAAATAAAAAAATAAAAAATAATCCGAAATGATTTTAAATTTTTTGAGAAGCTTCATATAAATCTCATTGAATAATTTTTATCGTACAACTATTTATTTGATTTTTATTTTTTGAGATAAATGACGAGAAAACTCAAAAATAATTAAATTAAATCTCAAAAAATCAAGAATATCAAAAACTAAATTTGAAATTCAGAAAATGTTTGATCTAGTTAGCCATAAAATACCTAATCTTGGTGGATGACTGATGAGCTTCAGATATTTTAATTTATTTCTCATGTCTTGATACGATGGACTCGTTATAACCAAAAAATCTCATCCATTTTACAATTTTTATTTTTAATTATTTGTTTTATTTTATTTTATTTTAGTTTTTTTTTTCATTTTCATTTTATTTTAGGAATTTCCAAAATTAAAAAAAAAACAAGTAAA